CAAGAAAAAAATGTACATTTGAAAATTATTATTTATCTTAAAGTAATGTAAAAGAAAAAGATATTAATGTTTATGAATTAAAAGCAGACAAGTTAGTTATTTAAGTATATAATTACAGATAAGTCAAGTGAACGGGTACAATGATCTTGAGTATTTGTCTGTATTCTGTGAAAGATTTTCATCGCTAAAATGAAAATTAAAAAATTCATAATAAAAAAAGAATCGAAAATTAAAGTATAAAAATTGTTGTTCTCAGGCCATGGAAATTTTTTATCAGAAACCTTTATTATGTCGACTATAGCGTAAACGATTGCTTTCTTTAAGGAAACACACCTGTGTTTATGCCTATAAATGCAAAAGCATGAAAATTAAGGATTAATATTAAAATTTTTTGTTTCGGAAGATAACATGTTTTTGCAGGTTTTTGTACAACAAAAAATATGTCTGTGGATCCTATTATTATTAAAATTCATTCAGGATACATATATATTGACTTGTAATTTTTAAGTCCTTGTCAAGATGATTTTGATAATATTTAATCTATATTTAATCAATGATCCTTTAGGTCTCAAAATTTTTAAAATTAAATTCTTTTCCACTTAAGTGTAGCAGATTTTTTATTTAGTTATTTTTTAAATCTACTAATCTCCAAATTTCTCATAGACCTATTTCGACGTACAAATTAATGCCCTTTTAGAAAGTCACTGTACTGTATTTAAGACGAGAAGGAGAGATGATGTTTCGTTAAGTTAAATCTATCAAGTTCTTGGGTTATTTTGTATTCAATGAATCTCATGACCAATTACATAATATATCGATAAACAAGATTCTATTATTTTCTATTATGTTTCAACATCTAAATTTGTTCAAAATTTAAATATTTCATAAATATGTCTTATAATATTCTTACTCCTCCAATATTTCTTACAATTTCTTTGAAACAATCTGAGACCGAGCGAGCGTTAGCGAGCGAGGAACGCCGCTAGTTTTGCATTATTAGATGACCCAACTTATTTAACTACGTTTATTATGATAATACATTTTTATATTGATTTGCTTTGATATTAACTCTTTTAAAATCATTCGAGCACTTTTTTTCATAATCAAAAATATATACGCAAGATTTTATGTAATCTCATGTTAAATCATAATAAAGTTTTAATAAATAATTTATTGAAGATTTCTTTAATTTAAATAAAAATTAACTCAGTATGATTTTGTCTTACCTTAACCTTATGACTACTATTACCCTTTACTCAAATACTGTTTCTTGTTAAGAAAAAACAACAAATAGAGTTTAAGAATATGCTTTATTGGTCTCAATGTCATCAAAGGACTTTCAATAAAAGGATACACTTTCTATTTCTTAGATTGAAAGAGTATATTCCAGCACTTCAGTTTAATAACATTTGAAATATTATTGATTATTGGTATTTTATTGGTTGCTAATTAAAAATTTAACTCACTAATAGAAATGAAGACGCAAGCTGAATAACTTGAAATGAACATAAGTACGAGTTAAGATTAAAGATAGAAGATCAATTGAATATGAAATTTTTAATTGCAATTAAAATTCTTTATTGTAACGAAAAAAACTTGAAACAAATAATAATGTAAAAAATAACAAAGAATTTTCAAAAGAGAGCTGAATACGTAATTATTATCGAGTACAATGTAAATGTTTAAGAACACTACAAATTAATGTACTAAACGATAAATCTTTCTAAACGCTAAATTCCATGCGAAATACATTTTTAATGATTTTTTTGTCAAATATAAGGCGTGAATTTAATCATTATGTATGACTATAACAGTGCTTTGCTTAGTGGCTGCTATGCTCACAATTTTATCTCCTTGATTATTTGTCAGTGTCGTCGTAATCGGAAAAATGTCTGAAATTCTGGATAAGCCGACAGTATTATTTTCAATGGTAGGCACTGATGATTTTTTTACTACAGTCGATACAGTATTGGTGTTGACTTGCAACGGTTTTTTTGTCGTAATGCTTTTATTCATCGACTGCACATTTCTCGGCGCTGTCTTATTTGGAACATTGACAGTATTTTTTTTATTGGTAGGCACTGATGATTTTTTTTGTGAAGTCGATGGAGTCTTAGGGTTACTGGTAACAATTTTTCTGTTTGTCGATTGCACATTCGTCGGTGCTGTCTTATTTGAAACTTTGGCCGCAGTATTAGATGAGCTGACAGGTTTATTTTTATTGGTAGGAACTAATGATTTTTTTTGTGAAGTCGCTGTACTGTTGATGTTACTCTGCAACGTCTGCCTATAGCCAAGTGTTCTTTGTCGCAGGCTTAATTCACAATAATCATAGTGACTCATTACACGTGCATAACTCATATACACAAAATTATATTTCTGAATTCCCTATAATAAGACGTGTGAAATATGGTATCGCTCTAACTCAATAATTTATTATATAAAATATTAAACAAAAGAGTTTTCTTACAAATACACGGATCCTATCAAAAATATAACGAATTCTATTTATGTGAAAATCAAATTTATTTCCATGGTCACTTGCTTCATCAATGTCGTGGGAACATGAGCTGCTCAAGTACAAATATGCATGAATAAGTTGATGCTGTAAATAATACAAACGTTTTGATAATGAAAAAAAAAAAAAATGGAGTGTAAAAAAAAACTTACTACATAAACCCAAAAATAACTTTTCGACGTAAATGAACGTTTTAATTGATTGTTAAATGAAATTTCACACCGCTTAGTAACTTTGTTGTAAGAGCACTTAATCACGTTCCTGTAACATGAAAATTAATGTCAATTATTTTTATTCTATCGCCTACATAATCGATTATTGAACTCACTTTGAACCGGTAGCCATGGCAAGGTCAATTTTATGTCTGAGACAAGAATGGCCGCGAAAACAAAGTTCGAAGATCTCGTCGAAGAAGGAACGATCATCTGGTTTTGAGTAGATCATTTTGGTAATTGCATATTGATAGAACGGATCAATGGGATTTTGATATAATATCTATGATTATATATATCAAGCACAATTTGTGTTAATTACCTCATTGATGTTCATGATTTATAAAAAAAACACATAAATACCTTATGTCTCTCATCGCACATTTTAATGAAGAATGCTTTAATGTAAATTATAAGAAATAAAAATTATTAAAATTATAAATATCAAGAAATTTATGTTGCCAAAATTATTCACGCTTAGACTTATTTTTCGTCGGTGTTTACACGTTCGTTGGTCAAATCGTACTGACAACTGACAACTGACAGAGTAAATAATAATGTGACGAAAGTTTGTTTTTGTCAAGAGTAGTTTCCTAAAATTAATATCTACAAATAATCACTTGGTATCAATTAATTTTAACGCTTTAAATAATCTATAAGTATATAAATAATTTTCAGTTACATGAAAATTTTATCGCTGGAAAATTTTTATTACATATTTGTAATCTCGGTTTAATTCCCAACAAATAATTCGAATGATGTATGCGCGTGTTTTCATGTTTTTTCTCGTCCTTCTGGTTTAAATTAAATTTCTATAATTGATTCATTAAAAACAATAATTACAAAAATTTGTTTCATCCTGAAAAAGTCAGGTTTGAAATAATGTTTTGTTTTAGGATACGGAGTTTATTAGTATTCATCGGCTTTGCCACGTAAAACTAAAACGTAGCATAATTTTTTGAAAAAGCTCTTTGCTAATGAATTGGCAACAGTTTTAAAGTATCATGCTTTGTATTAGATTGAGCCTCCACACGCATGGAGTGTTAATGACTCTTTTCTCGTCTTGCAGTTCTTATCAAAACTCATAATTTGTACTGGAAATTTCATCGAAGATTTGGTTACCACGATTTTGCCATGAGAAACAAAAAATGTTGTGAAACATATTCTCTATCGTTATAACTTCTCTTATATACCAACTCAAGTTGAATTTGACTTCTTGAGGGTTTCGAATACGCCATGTATCGTCAACTAGATAAGTCAACTAAAAAAATGTAAAGTTGATGATATGAACATAACTATCTGCACGCATCGTTTAGTCAAGTATCGAAGTTTACTTTTACGCTTGCTATAATGTCACTCGGAAGCAGCGGGCTCAAGCGCTACCAAAAATTTTATGATGGTACATAAATAGGAAATTTAAAATTGGATTTTGACTCTTGATAAAAATGAAATGAGCCATGAACGTAACATTCATTATTCACTTTTATGTTATAAAGTCTACTATCGGTATGGGATTATTTTTATGGATTCGATCCATAGTGGCTTTCATATTATGTTTCTCGGTACAAAATTTTTGGTGTAATCGATCACGTCTCTCTCAGAAGAAATCATCAGCCCGTTCAACTAAAATCTGCTCTCTGGCACAGCTCCAAATAAAACATAAAAAAAATTTCGACTCTTCTAATCGTTGCATGAATACCTGCAGAAAGCAAATAGAAAAAAATTTATGTAGAAGAATACTTAGCATTCCTCGAAATTTAGATCAAACAATAGAGCACCACCACCACAGAAACGAAGGCGTTATGATAGTCGGACACCCTAGGTCCAGGTATAGTAATACACAATCATATTGACACAATTTTTATTGAAATTTTAGATAAACATGTGTATAAGTATCTATACATGTATTTACTATTGAAAATCATTATTTTTCTCGCAATTGTCACGAGCAAAATCTTTGCAACCTTCATGTACTGCTTTTTGGTGTCTGTGCAAATGCGATTTGTGCCCAAATTTCCTTTCGCACTTGTTACATGCGTGATCTTTGCGACCTTGGTGGACTATTTTCTGGTGTTTGAGCAAATTCGATTTTATTCCAAATTTTCTTTCGCATTTGTCACATGCGTAATCTTTCTGACCTTCATGAACTGCCATTTGATGAATAAGCAAATTACCTTTTTGTCCAAATTTCTTCTCACATATGCCACATGTGTAATCTTTACGACCTTCGTGGACTGTTCTTTGGTGTTTAAGCAAATCTGATTTCTGTCCATATGACTTATCGCACTTGTCGCACGAGTAATCTTTACGACCTTCGTGTACTGTCTTTTGGTGGAAAAGCAAAGTCGATTTTTGTCCAAATTTTTTCTCGCATTTGTCACATGAGTAGTCTTTCTGACCTTCGTGTACCATCTTTGAGTGGATTAGCAAAGTTGATTTTTTTCCAAATTTCTGTTCACATTTGTCACATGCAAAATCTTTGCGACCTTCGTGTAATGTCCTTTGGTGGTAGAGCAGACTCTGTTTTTGTGCAAATTTCTTTTCGCACTTGTCACATGCGTGATCTTTGCGACCTTCGTGGACTGTCCTCTGGTGCTTCGACAAATCCTGTTTAAATCCAAATTTTTTTTCACACTTATTGCATACGTAATCTTTTAGACCGTCATGGACTATTTTTTGGTGGTAGAGCAAACTTGATTTTTGGGAGAATTTTTTCTCGCACTTGTCACATTCGAAATCTTTTCGACCTTCGTGTATTGTCTTTTGATGCTGGAATAAATTCCATTTTTGCCCGAATTTTTTCTCGCACTTGTCACATTCGAAATCTTTTCGACCTTCGTGTACTGTCTTTTGGTGTAAAAGCAAACTCGGTTTTTGTGTAAATTTTTTTTCACATTTGTCGCATGTGTAATCTTTGCGACTTTCATGGACTGTTTTTTGGTGGATTAGCAAGTGCAGTTTTTGTACAAATTTTTTCTCACAATTTTCGCACGCGAAATCTTTGCGAACTTCATGAAGTATATTTTGGTGTTTGATCAAATTGCCTTGAAGCCCAAATTTTTTCTTGCAAATGTCGCATGAGTAATCTTTCCGACCCTCGTGGACTGTCCTTTCGTGCCTGATCAAATCCGACTTTTTTCCGAATTTCTTTTTGCATTTATCGCATGCATTTTTGCGAAATTTTTGTTCAACATTTTTCTCACACTTATCGTGTACTGTCCGTATGTGCAAGAGCATACTTCGTTTGTTTCCAAATCTCTTCGCGCACTTTTCGCATAGGTAATCTTTGAAAACTTCGTGGAATATTTTTTTGTGTTTGAGTAAAGTTGATTTATTTTCAAATTTTTTCTCACACTTGAAGCACGTGAAATTTTCGCGATATTTGTGTGCCAATTTTTGTTGCGTAATCAATCTAGATTTTTTCACAAATTTGTTCTCGCCCTGGTCGCATGCATAATTTTTTTGATTATTGTGAATTGTGTCACGATGTGTTATCATACTTAATTCTAGAGCAAATGACTCCTGGCAAATATCACAAACATATTTTTTGTTGCTTGAAACAACAACGTTGTGTTCACATAATTTATCTTTTGAAATGATTTCTTCGGATTTCATCTCACTTTTATCCATTTTGTTATTTAAAATCAACGATAGATCCTTCTATTTAGCGCCAAGAAAATTAAATGAGTCAAACTGATCTTTTGGTAAATGTCTTGTTTCATCGAGAAAGTCGACATTCAAACTAATTTGTTTTTACTATAAACATAATCAGTTTGTCGAGGAAATATGTCAAAATCGTTAACGATCATATTATTTACAATTGAGGTACTAATTATTTATCCGTACATACATTGTTGTTACGATATTTAAAACAATCTTAAATTCTAACTTTGTAACGATATTTTTCGAGGAATAAATTTTGGTCTTTTAAAAGTGAAAATTTTCGAAAAAACTTTTGACAGACAACATCGAATTCACACGATAAAATCGAATTAATAAATTCTCATACTCGTAATAAAAAAATTTTAATATTCATTTTGTAATTTGACGCCTTTACACCATAGCAAGATTGGCGTGTTCCAAAATCCGCCTCTGGATTCGATGCATTATCAACGCATTGAGACCACATAAAACGAACGTACAATTAAGTCAAAAATTGCAATCGATGATCTAGTTTATTTTTTAAAGGAAAACTACTGGATGGATTTTAAATTAATAAGCTAATCATCGCTATGTTCTCTTATCCCAGAGCAAATAAAATAACATCGCATCATTTTTTAATATACGAGAATATTTTATTATTTGCTGGCGATATTACCCAAACACGCTTTATGCGGTAGATAGATTTTTGAAGTGAATATAGTCACCAGCAATTAAAATATCAAAAAAAAATTAGAAAAAATCTACGTACTTTATACTTCACAAGGTATCAACATTTTTAAAATATCAACATAATCCGCTCTATTGTGCGTGAAGATAAGTGAATATTCTTGCATGATTCGTGATATCGTATTTCATGATTCATTATTTTTTCTATCTCTTTGAAAATTTGGATCATAGCTATCTCATACTATAAATAAGATATTTTTATAAATTAAAATATTGTGTCCTACTTGAACAAAAAAAATGTAGAATATGAAATTTACTCATACACGAGATACGATTAACAATATAATGATTCAAATAAATGGTCCCAAAACGAAATTTGTCTTTGTTCATAATTTCTTTATTATCACAAAAAAACGTAAAAACAAAATAATAATATTAATAATAACAAAGATTTTTTAATAGAGAGTTAACAACGAAAATTTTATCTAGTACAATGTAAAATGTTTATGAACACTTAAATTAATGTACTAATCGATAAAATCCTTCTAAACGCTAAATTCCATGCGAAATACATTTTTAATGATTTTTTTGTCAGATATAAGGCGTGAATTTAATCATGATGTATGACTATAACAGTGCTTTGCTTAGTGGCTGCTATGCTCACAATATTATCACCTTGATTATTTGTCAGCGTCGTCGTAATCGGAAAAATGTCCGAAATTCTGGATAAGCCGGCAGTATTATTTTCAATGGTAGGCACTGATGATTTTTTTACTACAGTCGATACAGTATTGGTGTTGTCTTGCAACGGTTTTTTTGTCGTAATGCTTTTATTCATCGACTGCACATTTCTCGGCGCTGTCTTATTTGGAACATTGACAGTATTTTTTTTATTGGTAGGCACTGATGATTTTTTTTGTGAAGTCGATGGAGTCTTAGGGTTACTGGTAACAATTTTTCTGTTTGTCGATTGCACATTCGTCGGTGCTGTCTTATTTGAAACTTTGGCCGCATTATTAGATGAGCTGACAGGTTTATTTTTATTGGTAGGAACTAATGATTTTTTTTGTGAAGTCGCTGCACTGTTGATGTTACTCTGCAACGTCTGCCTATAGCCAAGTGTTCTTTCCAACAGGCGTAATTCACAATGATAATAGTGACTCTTTTCACGTCCATAACATATATAATTCACAAAATTATATGAATTCTTTGTAATCAGAATCCTGGAATCCTGAATTCCCTATAATAAGACGTGTTAAATATGGTATCGTTCTAACTCAATAATTTATTATATAAAATATTAAACAATAGAGTTTTCTTACAGGTAGACGGATCTTATCAAAAATACGACGAATTCTATTTATGTGAACATTAAATTCATACCCATGGTCACTTGCTTTATCAATGTCGTGGATACATGAGCTGCTCAAGTACAAATATGCATGAATAAGTTGATGCTATAAATAATACAAACGTTTTGATAATGAAAAAAAATATGCAAGTGGTAGTAAAAAAACTTACTACATAAACCCAAAAATAACTTGTCGACGTAAATGAACATTTTAATTCATGGTTGAATGAAATTTCACACCGCTTAGTAACTTTGTTGTAAGAGCACTCAATCACGTTCCTGTAACATGAAAATTAATGTCAATTATTTTTATTCTATCGCCTACATAATCGATTATTGAACTCACTTTGTGTCTATAGCCGTAGTAAGATCAATGTTATGTCTGAGACAAGAATGGCCGTGAAAACAAAGTTCGAAAATCTCGTCGAAGATGGAACGATCATCTGGTTTTGAGTTGATCTTTTCGGTAATTTCATATTGATAGAACGGAACGATGGGATTTTTATATAATATCTATGATTAAATCAAGCACAATTTGTGTTAATTACCTTATTTATGTTCATGATTTGAAAAAAAAAAAAAATAAATACCTCATGTTTCTCATCGCACATTTTAATGGAGAATATTTTAATGTTAATTCAAGAAATAACAATTATTAAAATTATGAATATCAAAAAATGTATATGGTTGAAGTAGTTCACGCTGCGACTTATTTTTCGTTGGTGTTTACACGTTTGTAAGCCAAATTGTACTGCTAACAGACAACTGAAAGAGTAAATAATAACGAGACGAAAGTTTGTTTCAGTCAAGAGTAGTTTCCTACAATTAATATCTACAAATAATCAGTTGGCATCAATTAACTTTAACGTGTCAAATAATTAAAATCTAATAATTAATCTTCAATAATTTTATGTGTATAATATTATTTAATTTATGTGTGTTTAAAATTAATTTTTAGTTTTCGTATCAATTCTCAAAATTTTGAACCAATGAGATTTTGAAAATAAAAGTAATACGTTCATCACGATTTTATCCCTCTCTTCATCTCTTTGACATTTCTCTCGTATACACATCTGTGCACGATCTCGGTTATAGTACGCATGACGATCGAGTCGCTGACGCGACGCTCGCGAAATGAATTATTCTAAACCACCTACGCGAATCGCGAATCATTCCGGAAGTAGACATCGGCGCGCTTCGAGTCTCGGGTTGTACATTCGATTGAAACGACGCTCCGGTCACGACTTTGGCAGTCATTACTTTTCGCGGTTTCGTATAGTTATATTAAAATCTCAGAAACTACCGTTAAAACTACGCGTACGGTCGAAGATGAATACCCCGAGGAAAAAAAAATCAATGCCTGGTTCAGCTTCGAAAGCGAGTGAATTTCCCCATCACGATCCTCGCTCTAAGCCGCGATGTCGGTAAAATTTCGCCTCGTAAATACCACAAGTTGCCTATCAATAAGCCGGCTCAATTCTGCCGCTGCATGTGTTACGTGCTCGGCGTCAGCATCCGCGCAACGTGCTATTATCTCATCCACCGCCAGTGGAGAGATAGCAGGCTGATTGTCTATTCGGGCCTATAACATGTATACACACAGAGAGTTACGCGCGCGCCTCGTTTCCGGCATTATGGAATATGTAAGCTCGCGCTGAGCCTGGAAAACTATTTCTTTTTTTTTCACTTTTTTTTATTGTTTTTAGACGCGTGGAGAGAGAGAGAAAATTACTGTACGGAGGTAGTGATTAATCATTATGGCTCGCGCGCAGCTAGTTGACTTTGAAATTTAAAGCTTGGAGCACGTCTAAGGCACGCGCACGCGTATACGTATACGTGCTTCATATGCATAATAATCCTTTCTCCGGGCTCCGCGGGTACGACTGCACTGCTGCTACACTATAAAAGAGAGCTTTTTTCGAATCTACTTAACGCACGAGAGTATTAGAGACAATGCAGACAACGTGTGCGCCGATAAGGATCTAATTACCGCCTCTCTCTCCGCGCTTACGTGTGTGTGTAAACGAACTTTTATACGGAGTTGACGCGCCGCGAGTAAGAGTCGTACGTACTTATCTTTCGGAGCCTTGAAAGAGAGTATACGAGGTTGCACAATCGCGAGAGTCGTTACATATGCGCGCACACGGACGTACGTTGTTTATGCGCGCAGGAAAAAGAGGCTCAATTGTTGTTGTTGTTGTTGTTGTCGTTGCGAGCATTAACGCACGCGCCGGGGGATTGAGCTTTTTTTTCTTCTCTTTTTTGCTTCCTGCTACTGCTGCTGCTTTAAAGAGAGTGAGAGTATCTTTTGAGACCGAGTGACTAAAATTAGACTTTAATCAGAAAAGTATTTGTATAATTTGTGGATTTTAATGAATGCAAGAAGTCTCAAACTCTTTTTTCTTTAAGCTATACTGGGGTTCAAATTTTCAATATTTGAATAATTTTACAAAAAAAAATTGATAAGATAATGTTCCAAACTTTCAGTTCAAGCTTGATAACATTGAGATCCGTTCATTACTACGAAAGTGATGATTGATAAACTCGGTATCAGATTTTGTAGCGTTTTGAGAAAGGTAACGTCTATTTGAATCATAATGAGCTGAACCAAGCCACAAAAATTAATCTTGCCATAAACCTATGCGTGCATCTTTATAATTTCATATGGCTTTGAAGAATCTACACGAAATAATAAATACCGAAGAGGAAGCTACCTGTTATAAATTAGCGGTGCTTCTTTTTTTCGTAATGTACATGAAAGAAAAATGCGAAAAAATATTTATCTCGTGGCGCGTCTCGCGGTGAACGAGAAAGTGAAATTGCAATGTTAAGTTCGCGTTATGTACGCATTGACCCAGGCTCATGCTGTGGTGCACTTCATTCTATATATAAAATGAACATTATGTTGCGCGCGCGCGAGAAAGTTACACGAATCGTAATATCGCATCATCACGACCTTCGGATGTAATTTTCATTTTTTTTCTCTTCCTTTTTTCCGAAAAGCCAAGCTGCACGGCGAGTGAAAGGTCAGTCATTAGACGCTGTTACGTATCGATCAACGATCATTATTTTGCTTATGAAAATTTATTTATTTATTTACTTTTTTCAAATTTTATAAGGTCCACATGTTTTCTTTTTGTTCGTCGATTTTACGTCGCACTTTGTGCGACGTGTACAGAGATTCATTCGTCGACGACGCGGCACGTGTGTGTGTGTGCGTGTATATTTCATTACGCATTCGTTGTAATTACCGCGTCGTTTTTATCACATTCCATTGGTTTTTTGGTTTTCATACATTTCTTAATTTTCTTTTTCAATTTAGGCTTACAAAATACAATCAATTCGTGTACGTAGAGCGAAATTACGTCTTATTATTATTATATAATATATAGAGTCGAACTTACGATTAATTACTTTATATTAGCGCGAGCGTACAAACATTTTACAACGAGTTAAATTAACGATATCGATAGAAAAAATCAATTCTTTTGATTGCTGGCTGTGATTGTGTATGTGTGCATACGAGGGATTTCTCGCGGAACAATGCAATTCTCTTCTTTTAATTGTTTTTTTTTTTTTTTTAACATTAAACTTTCAATTCGAAGCATCGCAATACGAGACAACAGATATTCAATCGTTTACAATGTATATAGGAAAATACGTAAAACTTTTTAAATGTATCCACTACGTTATATGTTTTTTTTGGAGTAAAAATTCTATGAAATGTTCTCTCGAATTCCACTGTGTGTCTTGTTGACTTACGAAACGAATAACGATGAATTATAATTAATCGCTTTACACATATATAGCGACACGCAGCCCTCGAAAAATCGAGGAATACAAAAACAAGATTGTTTTTTCTTCGTATAAAGTTTAAAAAAAAACAATACAACAGGCACCAGGCAACTTATTTACTAAAAAGGTTCACAATCAAAACAGCGTCGAGCTTTGAAAAAAGAACACTTGATAATGGAGATTCCAGCACTCGATACTACTACAACTATTATCTTCGTAAGTAAAAATGAACATTAGCTCGAACTTCCGTATAACGAAATTCGTCACAACGAAAAGGTGATCACGGTAAAAAGTTTCGCCCGACGGCGATGACCTATCATAATTCCTCGAATCCGACGATCTCGTTCCTGCAGTTCGGACACTGATTCCTCGCGCTCTGTGAAGAACGAAGAGAAAAAAAGGGAGTTAGCCCTCGAGAAAAGAAAAATTTCAAATCTGTTTAAAAAATCTGGCGCTCTCACCCCTTCTCCTTTGCTCCTCCACTCTTCGATGCAAATCAGATGAAAGACGTGGGAGCAGGGGACGAGCTTGACGCCGTTGATCTTGGTGGCGTCGTCGAGGCATATCGCGCAGTGCCTCTCGGGTCGTCGATTGCGAGCTTGGCTGAAAACACAGAACGACACCCACGTTATTATAGAATTAAATAAAACTATTTTTAATCAGCGCGTCGCTCGTTCAAGGTCGTGCGTTTATTATTATTATTATTATTATTAGACGCGCAGTCACGTGGTACATTGACATGCGGAGCACAAAAAATAATCGTATTTTTGATAATACGACGATGCGACAACACTCACTTGCCGGACTGCTGAGAGTTCCAATAATTCTTGTCGGCGTCCGACATATTTTGTCGGCTTCGCGAGCTCTGACGATGGCCACCACCGCCCATGCTCTGGCCGCCCTGCTGCTGGTCCTGCGTGCTCGCGAACAGATAGTACAGCATCGCCCCGAGGCCCACACCTATCACCAGCATCACGGCCAAGCCTGGATTCGGCATTTTTGTGTTTTATGTATCGACTTATTTTACTTTTCTTTCCTGACCTGTAAAGAAGATAAACATTGTCTCGTTTAGCGTTACATAAATGCACAAAAATTAAGCATCATTCTTAGGTTAATGCTCGAGCTCGAAATGTACACGAGATGCGAATTATTATTATTTTTTTTCTGGAACACGAGCACACCCGCGACAATCGGCGGATCCTTTCCTACCCTACTTTCGATGATAACCGCACGCACAGCTGATCGATGCGCCAAATATTTTTATGGGTCACCGAAATGTATCCAATATAATACCGCGTCGATTGTTCACCGTTCTCGCACTGTGTGCATCCGCACTGCGTAACGACACTTGTCTCGCTGCGAGTGGCTGTTTTTTTTTGTTTCGTCGTTGTTGTCGATCCACAAATGGGATTCCCTCGCGTACACGAAAAGCTTCGCAGAATGTGCATCGCGTCTTCTGCTAAAAATATATAATATACATAACCTGTACCCCGAAGAAAGTAGGTCCCTTGTATTCTCTCGCTCGAATCGCGAGTGCAACCATTTTATTGTACACGAAAGATGCAACGCGTTCGCGAGCTCGTTACGCTAAAATTTCACTTGTTTACTTACACCGTGGCTCCGTGTATATCCGGATCGTCTCGTACACACAGACACGGACAGACGTGTTTTGTGTATGTTTATTATTATCAAACGATCTCTGTCCTGCACTGCTCTATTATCATACACGGGGCCGTTATAACCTGCTCCGTATCGATGCCTCGCGAGTCACGCCGAGGACACCACTCGCTACATCAAGTTGTTGCAGCTCGTCCCCTGGCATGTTGATGACGATGGTCCTCTGCTGCTGCTGCTGCTGCAGTGCTGCAAGCGGTTTATAAAAATCTCCTTGTCTCGATGCACATCCAACTTTATTAAGAGCACAACGAGCTGATGCTGATGCTGACGTTACGTACGCCGAAATATAGGTGCACATGTACTTGTCAGTGTACGTTTGCGTACGGCACGTAGTATGGCATACCACGAGCTATGATCGCGAAAACCAAAACATCGAGACGATCCAAAACAACATCGTCTGCGCCGACGCCGCGATCGACTTTTTTTACAAATAGACGCGCAGCGGCCAGCCAGCATGCAACGCGAACGTGTATGTGTATATGTTGCTCCGTTTTAGACAGCAGCTGTAATCGCAGCTGATTCCGATAATCCCCACAATGTTGACGGTCGCTTGACGCATGCGATTCTTTGAAATTCGCGGCGCGCAAAAGTCGCGCAACTTTTGAACTCAACCTTCGTACTACTGCATATTTAAATCTATTGAATAAAATATAAATTATTATTTGCTCATTCATGAAATATCATTAATCTTTTTTTCTTTTTGCATTAAAATACACCGTGCAATAAAATTATGGCAACAAAACATTTTATCGAAATTTTCTCAATTTTCAAATGCTTCTATCTTCGTCTATTTTAATCGTATCGAGATGATCTTTTTTTATTTCTTGGAAATTTTTTCCTCTTTAAATCCATGTGAACAATGATTGGGTTCGAGTTACCCAGTAGTATTTGAGCGCAATACTAAAAATGACAGAAAAAATCGATTGTTTAAATGTGTATCAGGATTACAGTGATTTTTTTATCGAAATATAACATGCACTATCGCAAAATACTCTTTTCAAAAGGAATTTGAAGAAAAAAGAGTCCTGTAAGATTTTTTTGCGCCCTGTAGACCGTTTCACAGGTACCATTTATGTACGCAAAATGTGCAAAAATCAAGTCGATTTCAGTTAAACGAGGCATTTTACGAACTTAAACATTTTTAGTGTTTTGCTCAAATAATTAATTCGATATTGACTTAAAACAATTCATAATATATATGAAATAAAAGAGAAACGTATTTCTAAGATACAAACAAAAAATTCGTCTCGATACGATCAAAAAATAAGAATATTTGAAAATTGAACAACTTTCGACGAAAATTTTTGTTGCATATGAGTCACTTCTCAGAGACTTAGAGAGCAGTTCACGCGCTGTAAAATTATCATTTAATGTTCTTTATTTCATTTTTTTTTCATACAATCGACAAATTAATTTGTCTAGACTAAAATAAAAAGTGCTTATAATTTTTAATAGAACATGTGTGAATTTTTTCGATTTTTTTTATAGTTTCCAATTTATCGAAATCCACTCATTTTTTAAAATTTCTCCACCCACGTATTCATTAAATTTTCAAAATTATGTTTATCAAATTTTCTTTGTAAAGTCGGTAAATTCCAGAGGGAGAGTGACATAAAAGGGTTTCTGCAATAACAACAAGATTTATAATAATTTGAAAAATTGTATTGTTCTTTATGAAATCGAAGCGCATCGTTATTAAAGATTTCCTCAAATTTTGTAGAGTACTCATGCGATAACATGTTTAGATTTTGTATAAGAATATCTCTGAACAAAACTGTTGCACCTAGGGTTTGATATGCTCATGTACTGAATTTATATGTTTATTTAGGTAACTTTTTTGTACAAATGATTTATGACAAATACCACATTCGAAGGATTTAATACGAATATGTACTGTCATGGTGTGAGTTTTAAGAGAACCCCTTTGTCCGAATGATTTGTGGCAAATGTCACATTCAAAGGGTTTTCTTCGAGCATGTACTGTACTTTTGTGAATTTTAAGAGTTCCTTTTATTCCGAAAGATTTGAGACAAATCTCACACTCAAAGAGTTTGATACGTTCATGTACTGTTGTTATGTGAGTTTTTAGCGTAATTTTTTGTCCAAATAATTTGTGACAAATATCACATACAAAGGGTTTGATACAATTATGTACTATGTTTGTATGTTTTTTGAGAGCACTCTTATAGCCGAAGGATTTGTGACAAATCTCGCACTCAAAGGGTTTGCTTCGATCATGGACTGATTTAATATGAATATTGATGTAACTCTTGCTTGAAAATGATTTGTGACAGATCTCACATTCAAAGGGTTTGATTCGATCATGTACACTAGTTATGTGCATTTCGAGGCTCGCTTTTTGTCCAAATGATTTATGACAAATATCGCACTCAAAGGGTTTGCTACGTTCATGTACTGTTATAACGTGATCTTTGAGTTGAACTTTATATGCAAATGATTTCTCACATATTTTACATTCGAAGGGTTTAATACGATTGTGTACTGTCATGGTGTGAGTTTTAAGAGAAGCCTTTTGTCCGAATGATTTGTGGCAAATGTCACATTCAAAGGGTTTTCTTCGAGCATGTACTGTACTTTTGTGAATTTTAAGAGTTCCTTTTCTTCCGAAAGATTTGAGACAAATCTCACACTCAAAGAGTTTGCTACGTTCATGTACTGTTGTTATGTGAGTTTTTAGCGTAATTTTTTGTCCAAATAATTTGTGACAAATATCACATTCGAAGGGTTTGACACGATTATGTACTAAATTTATGTGAAAATTCCGGTTATGTTTTAGTCCAAATAGTTTGTGGCAAATCTCACATTCAAAGGGTTTGCTACGATCGTGTACTGCATTCACGTGACGATTGAGAGTACCCGTTTCTCCAAATGATTTGTGACAAATCTCACATTCAAAGGATTTGCTACGATTATGCACTCTATTTACGTGAAATTGAAGGTGACTTTTTTGTCCAAATGATTTCTGACAAATCACACACTCAAAAGATTGAATACGATTATGCACTGTGTTTATGTGTACTTTCAGATTGCGCTTGTATCCAAATGATTTATGACAAATATCGCACTCAAAGGGTTTGCTACGTTCATGTACTGTTATAACGTGATCTTTGAGTTTAACTTTATATCTAAATGATTTATCACACATTTTACATTCGAAGGGTTTAATACGATTATGGACTGTCATGGTGTGAGTTTTAAGAGAAGCCTTTTGTCCGAATGATTTGTGGCAAATTTCACATTCAAAGGGTTTTATTCGGGCATGTACTGTACTTTTGTGAATTTTAAGAGTTCCTTTTCTTCCGAAAGATTTGAGACAAATCTCACACTCAAAGAGTTTGCTACGATCATGTACTGTTATAACGTGATCTTTGAGTTGAACTTTATATCCAAATGATTTATCACACATTTTACATTCGAAGTGTTTACTCTGGTTATGTACTGCAATTATTTGAGATTTGAGGGTATTCTTAAGTCCGAATGATTTATGATAGATCTCATATTCTAATGGTTTGATTCGATCATGTATAATAAATATATTTTCATTTATACTACTGGACTGATTTTCGTTTTCTATTTTTAAATTAGGTTTCAAACTTTGAATCTCAGTTGTGCAGGCGGCTGTTGATAAAGAATTAATTTCAAGTTTAACATCTTTGCACTCAAAATCAATGATTATATTTTCATTTGTACTATTGGACTGATTTTCTTTTTCTATTGTCATATTAGGTTGCAGACTTTGATCCTCAGTTTTGCAAACGGATGTCTGTAACGTATTCAATTCAAGTTTAACATCTTTGCACTCAAAATCAATAATTATATTTCCAATTGTACTATTGGACTGATTTTCTTTTTCTATTGTCGTATTAGGTTGCAGACTTTGATCTTCAGTTTTGCAGGCGGATGTCCTTAACGAATTCAATTCAGTTTTAACATCTTTGTTCTCAAAATCATTGATTATATTTTCTTCTATGTCGTTGGACTGATTTTCGTTTTCCGTTTTTGAATCAAATTGCAAACTTTGATCTTCAGTTTTACAGACGGTTGTTGATGAACAATACAGTTCAGGTTTAACATCTTTACACTCGAAATCGATAAAAATTTTTTCATCCAACTCTTTATACATCATGGCTTGATTCATGTTATTTGTCTAAAATTAAAATTGTGACTTTAGTTTTTGATGACAATAAACAGAACATCAATTCAAATAATCATACTTACTGATAGTTCATATAATTGTAATTTTTCAACGTTTTTGACTTCACCAAAGTCCATCGAATCGAAATCATAATTTCCGCTTGCATCTGGCCAAGTATCGCTTGGTTCTTGCTTTACCCTGAAGAATAATCAAGTCTGATGAAGTGATTGTTTAAAAGATTATTTTAGTAATTATCAAAAAAGGTATACCTAAATGTATTCTCTCTGCTTTCCATCGAATCCATCACTGTTAATTTTACTGAGTTAAAAAGTAAAAGACTGAAACACACCCAAGTAAATTCTATTTTAGTAGTTCGTAGCAGCGGGCTTTTTATGTATTATAGGTAGTATGGGAAATTTAATCAACGCCACCTATTTTTTTTTGAAAAAGGTATTCACTGCAAATTTTTACGATATCGATTACGAGAAAATAATCAAGTTTCAATGCTTCCCGCAGTTAACACTGTATATCCACACTTTTTAATTTGTAAAAAAAATATATAAATTATGTATTTAATACATACACAATATAAAAGTTATAAACTTCTATCCACCGAGACATTCGGCTTCTCGCTAGCGACTGAACACATTACTGGTAAATTAGGTAGAGAACCCCTCTATTTTGGTAGCTTCTTAGGAATACCTTTCCCTCCACGATCGACTGGTCCTAGGCAGTAATATTAATTGAATAGGCTGTGAAGTAAAAAGAAACTCGCTTGACATCCAAACCACACAGATTGAAGACTTCGTTTATCCAGGTGTACAATTGGATTATACATACCTACGGGCTACACGCGGGAAAATGTACACATAAAATAGAAGTATGTATCTTATCCCACAATGGTGTACAATACATAACAATATTACACACGTTATATAGCAGGAACGAAGTTCAATTTTCGTATGTTAGCAGCTCGTAGAAAAATATGTAAGGCAGTTGCGTTAAGAAATTCCATTTAATTTTTAAAATTGAATTTAGTTAGTTAACTCTACTTCGTTATAACAATAGCGGTGAGTTTTTGACTCATAAAATTATTTTTACTTTGCCACTTGCAGATGTACATCATATTGAAAATGCTAATTGTAACATAAATTGTCAATATTGCTGCTTAAACTTAATTTTAAATAGTAAATTTGATGTGTAAAATTATTACAGATAGATCATTTATTGGTGAAAATTTAAGAGAGACAGATAGACACGAGTCGTAGATTTAACTTTGATGTCAAATAATTTTCATTTTAAATGAAAAAAGCATGAAAATATTTAAAGCCTCTGTAGTACAGTTACAAGATTAGATGATGCTAAGATTTCTAGATAGAAATTAATATACACTTAATTGTAGCTATTGTTGTAATTCCACCTTCGTCGATGCGCTCGTTAATATTTATGATGATGACCTCATTACAACAGTGTAAGCTATCAGCTAGATTGTGTTCGATAAACTTCCGCAAGCTAATTATAAAAAATGATCAGATTTTAGGGATTCACCTAATCAAAAATAATATAAATAATTAATTTTTTTTTTTTTTAATATTTTTGTATCAATTTTAACATAATTTATTGAAATGTTGAAATTTTTATTTTCTTTTATAAATTACATCGAGTGTGTTTTTAGTTAACATGTATAGTTACTGTAAAAACTTCTAATGAATTTTACCATTTTTACATAAACCATTCAGCCGCACGCATCGTTTAAAGTATATATGAACACGAAGAGCGATGTTATAGATAACGTTCATTACTCATGAAACTTCAAAGAAAACTGCATTCAGCTGCGTTTTTTAATTCATCACTTCCCACAATTTCTTTTTTTACTTCTCGCCTAGATTTCGAAGAATTTGATAATTTATTATCAATTTTCATCAATAATTATGCTAGTGAAATTACGTGTATTTTTTATTATTCAAAAACATTTCAGATAATTTTTCTGACCTATAAACGAATGATTTTAATAATAAAATCGAATAAAGCCAAATTTCATAATTTGTTGAATCGAATCTTGAAAAGAAAATTTGATTAAGAATCTTCGATCTAATCAATGATTGCAAAAATATATTCGTCATAGATAAATGAAGTTAAAGTGTTTTCCCACTTATAACAATCACGTCATGTTGTGCTATCTCACCAACCCGTTTTCATATAAAAGGTAAAACATCACCGCTGGCATTATAGTTTCGAGTGAATCTAGTGCTCAGAAAATTACTTCCTGCAAACATGAAAGCTATTCTGTTTCTCGCCGTCTGTTTGGCTGCCGTCGCTTCCATCAAAGCCAGTGAGTTTCCCTTTATTTAATAATTTTAGAATCACAAAAAACCAAGCACGAGGTGAAATCTATAAAAATGAACGATTTTTCAGGCGAAGCTGACAACGAGATCTCCACCTATGCCCCTTGCAACAATAACCAATTGAACGTCTGCTCGATCCTGTGCGGAAGAATAGGACATCGGTACTTCACCTGCGAGGATCTTGGCGGTCGCTATCAGTGCCACTGCTTCTCGCGTTCCGCCCAACCGCAATCGGACTCGCTGAAACTCTCGGTTAGTAAACTTGATTGTACCTTGGACGTGATTTTTTTAGTGATCATTAATAATAAATCGAAAAATTTATTTTAGGTCGAAGGTGACGTTACTCCTTCCGATAACGAGACGCCGAGGAGAGCTTTCCAGATGAAAGTATTGTAAGGGATGTGAATTCAGATAAATTATGCAACGGAAAATATTTGTAAAATTTGAATGTTAAAATTTTTAATCGATATATCGATTTTAAGATATAATTATGGAATAAATTGGGTTTTTAAGTACAAAAAAAGCATTTTTTAATCTTTATACTATGATCCATTATGCTATAAATAAAAATTATAAAATGAGTAAAACATCAACCAAATGTATCAATCTAAATGCATATTTTATTTCAATAACATTTTAAATACAACATAAACGATATTAAAATAATTAAAATATAAACTATTGCATAAAGTCATTAGTTTCATTCAATCAAAACATCTACAGACTTGTAGTTTCTTTAGTAAATATTTTAAAATTAGATAGGGATTGCACAAAACATCGGTGCGTCGCACTCTAAACAATTTCGTCGAATTTCATATATCGCTTATCTGATTAAGTTTACTTTTCTACTTATCAAGATTATGATACACTTTATTTATTATACAATAAATGCACTTGGACATCACAGTTAAAAGAAGTTAAACAAATCGACTAGATTTACAAAATAACATCTACTGATCTAGATAAAGGTAACTGATTTTCCTTTCTCTCAACCCTTGACAGAGGACGAAGTCGGCGTCGAGGGCGTCAGCAGAGATACGGTCGGGGGATTTTCTCGGACGTTCAATTGATAATCGCAGGTGGATTGCACCAGCGGCGGCATCCGTTGCTTTATGAGCATCTGACGCAGCAGCTGACATTCCTCGCGCATCGCCACGAGTTGCGCTCGCAGTATCGCGTTCTCGTGCTCCAACATCGTCGCTCTCAGAGCTATCTGCGAACAACAGCCAGAGAGTTTCGTATTGCTATTTTTAGAAAATTCGATATTCTCTCGAGGATTACCTGATCTTCCCTTATTCGGCGAGCGTCGCGGGATTTTTTCGCAGCCTCGTTGTTGCGCTTCCGCCTCTCGTAATATTTTTCGTCCTTTTGTTCGTCCGGTATGGGCGTTTTCTCGCTTCTGTGCCTCTTCGGTTGCTGAATACTCGAGATGACGGCGTTCTCGATGAACGCTGCAGCTGCAATGCAGGGAAAATGTCGCGATGATAACAGGGCCACTTTTTTTGTTCAAATTAATAATTTTACAGTTACAGGCGCTTAAAGTAGGCCCACTGAATTTATGCAGACCCTCTCACAACGAATTTTTTTGGTAAAAAAATTTTTTTTCTATACAAATAAATTTCTAACACCCGCCTCGGTAGCGCAGTAGGCAGCGCGTAAGTCTCATAATCTTAAGGTCGTGAGTTCGATCCTCACCTGGGGCATTTATTTTTGGCGTTTGCATAAAAAACAACGTGACATTGATTATTCAACAGATATTAGAATAATTATAATCGTAAAAAACAATTTTTATGTAATTTTAATCATTTTTAATTGCCTTAGACGTTCATTATCTGACATGAAATCGTAATCATAAGGTGGTTTCATTTAACGATAGTATTTTTTGCAAAATTAATGCTGTATTCGTATTTTCCAAAACATTATATCCCAAAATTGTATACCCTGAAAAAATTCTGCTAGGACTACTTCTAGAGGTAATGAAACTCTAAAAGTTGTTTTGAAAACATTTCTTATTGCGAACCCACTGCGCCGGTATGAAGGCAACCCGTCGTACAGAGATGTAGGTTTGTAACGCCGCACAAATGCCAATAACGAGATGTGTTAATAGCGAGAGGAAAATATGAAAAATTATTCTACAATATAATAATTAATGAAATTCGTGTTGATTTTGATCTAAAATGCAAAAGTAAATGCCCCAGGTGAGGATCGAACTCACGACCTTAAGATTATGAGACTTACGCGCTGCCTACTGCGCTACCGAGGCGGTTAATGGGCAATTAATTTGTCTCGAAAAAATTTTTGATCAAAAAAATGAATCTTTATCCAAAAAAAATTCGTTTGTCTAGGGTCAGGGCAAAAATAATGCCCCGGGTGAGGATCGAACTCACGACCTTAAGATTATGAGACTTACGCGCTGCCTACTGCGCTACCGAGGCCGGTGCTAACAAGGCTCATTTAGCCCTATTTGAAGGGCAGTTACGTACAAGTAGTAATTTTGTTAAAAAATTAATCGTATTTTTAGCATTGATACACTTGTCAAAAGTTATTTTGACGGCAATAATTACCAATTGAGTTTTACAATCAGAACAAACTATTATTCATGTTAAATTTTTATAATATTATAGAGTTTAATTATTCTTAAATTTAATCGTGTTTAATTTTTTCATTTACGAATTCATTTATGTTCTAATAATAAAATCAAGACAAGTTTTGCCATAACTTTTTCTAGTCAGCTTGAACATCAACGTATTTAGCTATTTGGAAACATCTCTTCATTGATGATGCCCTAATACTCGCGTAGATCAAATTTCTTAATGACGATTACAGAAGCATACAGTGGGCCTACTGTGGAATTTTGAAGATTCCAAGAAGAGAAAATACTCCTATGCGAATCATGCGTTCCTGATACATTTGTCCCCTGAATAATCTCGGCTCGCTCCACCAATATTTCGAGGATTGAGTTTATACAAACAAGAAGGTCACACGCGATCCGGAACGCAGAATTCTATAAATACTCGTACTTTTTTTTTCTTGAGGGGGGAGACCTCAAAAAATATGCGGAGAAGTGTTCCGAGTCTCTTATAGTCTGCTTATATGTGTTCAATCTTTGTAATGTACTCTGTTAGAAATAGCAAATACGCCAGCGTGTTACGTGGTTAACATTAATATTATTTCAATAAATGACAAAATAAATTTCACTCAGATTTTAATAGTTGATTTAGACTTGCTATAGTAAACAATAAAATTTTATAATGAATTCTCAACCTGACTATATTTTAGACTTTAAAAAGATCTGGGTGAAAAAAGGTTACTGAAATTTAATTAATACAGCTCTCCTGTAACAAACTAGGTACTCAAGCATAAAAAAATTACAAAAAAGAAAATAAATTATCTCAGAACCTTGTAAAAATTACAGATTAGATTGTTGATATTATTATAATATCGACTGTCAGCTTGTTGAAATAATTCAGTACAGGCTAGATTTTCAGATCGATAAATTTACATTTCGTATGGGTTTATTCACGGCAAAGAAGTAACAGAATTTTAGAATATTTTTACTTGTAAAAAAATGTCCGTGAAAATAACGTATAACAAAAATAAAACTGCGATTAGATGCTGCAAAATTTTAATCAATGGTGGAAAAGTGACGAAAGGTTATTCAACATAATGTGTCAAATCGTACCTCTTAAATTAAACTACTTTGTTAAGATTAGAAAATACCATAGATTGTTAAAAAAAAATATTGATTGCATAGCGGTTACCTGCATTAGCATTTGTGAAAGAAGGGCATAAAGCAACCGTCGGGATGAGCGGTTGCACACTGCTTAGCAGAGGTGGTTGAAATAGGCCACTCAGGGTGAATGAGGTTGACGATGAAAGTGGCGATAAAGGCATGTCACCCCTACTCAGCATGGTCCTCGATGCTACCATCTTCGATTCGCTCGGGTTTAAATCTGAGTGAGGACGAGTACCATACATTGGATTATCTAAAATATGAAAAATTTGGTCATTTTCTATGAAGTTTTCATGGATTATGCACCGAAAATTCAGTAGATAAATGAACAAAATCTATGAGGTGTAAAAAGTATGCTATTGATAAAAATGACACGTTCACTAATACATTGAAACTATGTCCCTTAACATTGATATTGTAAAATAAAATTTACAAATAACTAAATATAAAAAAGATATAAAAAATTTTCGATTTATAAGGAAAGTTAATCAACCAATATCAATTTTCTGGTGAAGTGTGATTTCCGTCGCAATGCATTTTTGACTAACTTCTATGTATAAGAACTATTCATAAAAAATTGTAATGTTAGTAGTCGTTAAACTTGTTCTTTTTAAAAATCATTAACTTCTTCTATGCTACGAAAGAGTAATAGTAAAAGTAAACTCTTCTTCAATCTTAAACTATCGCTAAAAGAATTTACTTTTCATAAAATTCACTGATACGCGAACTTGAAATAGTGGTAAAAATAAATAAATATTCCATTATTAGTTCACATAATCTTAAAAATTGTTTTTATATACGAGAAGTTCATTATAATAATTTTTCAATCTTTTACCAATCTTGAACCAAAAATATTTGATTTCTCATTTTCCGCAGGCACCCGAAAGCTCGCTCTACATCCGCGTTGAAATTTCCGCGAAAAAAAAAGATTCCTCCACCGTGACAATGCTCCCTGATCGGGAACATTGCCGTGACCAGGATTCGAACCTGGGTTACTACGGCCACAACGTAGGGTCCTAACCACTAGACGATCACGGCTACTGGAGGAGATACTTCGAGCTCTCTAAATCCCCAACACAATCTAAAATATTGACCGACTTACGCGCCGGAGCGCGACCACACCTAGGCCAATTTTTTCTAGATCGGCGGGTGAGGCCCGTGGTGGGGAAAGTCGCGCCGAAACGCCTTTCACCGGAGTCGAGCGCGCGCGCGCTATCGGTGCGAAAAATTTGTGAGATGATAAAGTGGATTTCTCTAGAGCTGCTAAAACTACTACCGCGGCTGGTCTGTGGTTCGGTATTAATTTTCTCAAGAGGAGATGTAAAGAAATTTTCATCTGGAAAAGGAAGAAAAATATTTAAGATCGTATGAAGTGGACGATATGCTATCAAAGTAAGGCTAGCAATTTTCATTTATGCATTGTTCGGTGGAAAATGATGAAAAATGAACTACAGTTTTATGTTAAACTTTTAATATATTGAATTTAAATAGAGATAAACGTAAATTTGTATCGCGACTTATCACGTTCAAATTTGGAGGTTTATTTATCATACAGCACATTGAGCACGATTACATTTCGTCAACACATACAATCTACTTAATGATTGCTCGAAAATCTGGCATTTACATAAAAAAGAAATTCCAGCGGCTGACGAAAAATTGAGAATTTTGTTTTGTGTGGTTTTCGATTGAAATAAAGTGGCTATACAGAAAATTTTCAAACAAGGTTTATATTTAATTTTACTGAAGTCCAGTAAAGTTGAGCGCTCGTAGCAACGCTCAACACTAATAATAGCGTGATACCAAAAATTAAGGATTTAAAATGTATTAAAATGAATGGCCATTGGCCACTTATTGGCTAGTTTTTGGCGATTTTCCTGTTACAATTATGTTATAAATTTTAAACACATTTTCAATGACATGCATATAACAATTGAATTGTTTCAAGAAATATAAACTGCAGTTTACGACCACTTCAAAAATGATAATAATTTGAGCCTCGACCACTAGATGGCGAGCATCTTAATATATGTAAATCTGCAAGTGGCAAAGTCAAGTTAATTGTATTTAGACGCGAGTATTCTTTAAGTAGGTAATCAAAGAGTTCTCCGTTATTTATTATCAATTATTGTGCGTAAATTCTATGCTCACTTTAGTTCATGCTTGGTATTCTAAATTTCATTATACGGAAATAAATTGAACTCTGCGGAAAGGCAACAGTAAGAAAAAAAAAAGATCAATGAAAATCTTTTACATACCTGATTGAGACGATAAAAATCCGTTGTAGTTTCTCAACAAATGCAGAGTGGAGAATACATCCGTAAAATTGGCATCGGCTATTCCGGATGTACTTGGCGATTCCATTAATTTGACCTTTTTATCCAAATCATTTGATCCAAAAGTAAATCAATAACTTTTTAATCATTTTTTGCTTACGTCGCTTATGAAAAAAAAAAAAAAAAGTTGAAAGTAATACTAATTTCAAGTAGATTATTCAGAGTCAGTTTCGAAATAAGCTTCGCATAAAGACAGAAATATTCGAAAATATTTTGAAAATCGTTATTATTTTGCAGAGAAACACATTGTCCACCTTTATTCTCGTTGCCAAAATAATAACAAAAACTAATAACTGCACTCGATCGCGCTCGAGTCGCGCGTCATCGTCGTCATCGTCGACATCGCACTCGCTCGTCTTTCTTAGATAACTATTTCACCGCATTATGTATATCGCGGGAGGCTACCGCGCTCCAACAACTAATTTCGCGCAACAAAGCTCGCGTCGTCCATCGTCCTCCGCGAGAGCTTTTCGCGCAGCTTTTGCCGTGCTGTTATGGGTGTCCGCCTACCTGCGCAAGCGCCCTGCGACTCTGCCACTGACGTAAGAACCGCCCACGATCCATAAGGGCGAAAAAACTCGTTCACTCGTGTCACACGTATACGCCATCGTTCGTCGAGAGGAAGGAAGGGATGGATAGGCTGAAATCCACCCACTCTCGAAGAGATAAGCCACCGCAACGAGCCGCGAGTTGCGCGACGTTATCCAAGCTCTCGCGCGGGCGTTGCAGGGAGGCTACCCCGTTCGTGCGTATATAACGCGACGTCTAGTATTTACAACAAAAACGTCCAAAGTCACGATGAATAATTTATCGAGGCGATAATTTAGTTTTTACACTCGTTGGAGCTCGCGCGGCGCAACGACGCGTCACAATCGCTTGCTCCAGATCGCGGAAAGAAGAAATAAATAAATACGCGACAACTTCCGCGATGGATTACTGCGTAGCTGCATGGCGCGTATTATGGCATTAATAAGAAATGTTTACTGCTGAACAGCACTGAATGATTTTATTTTTATTAACTTTAAATTTAGTAGATTGCATTTTAATATACTCCTTCAACAAAGAAACATTTAAAGCATACGCGATACACGTGTTCTCCTCGACCCATCACCCTTACGATCAAATCCTGAAATATTTAACGGCATATTAGCTCGAAAAATGACGGTGTTTTGACCCCGATGTACATTTATGAACAAAGGGTATGTAAGAAGGGCAACGTAGAAGGGGTTGCATATTGTATTTATAACGCGTCGAGTTTATATCAATGAACACCTGAGCGATGATGAGCGCAGTTCCGACCCCATCAGACACCACAGACAGACTTTGTAATTATTTTTTTTAGTCTTTGAATCGTAAACTTTGTTTTATAAACTGAAGAGGTAGTTATTGTTATCGAAGCAAATCGATAAGGAATTAGATATCGAATTAAAATGATGTAAAAGATTGTTGTATTGTTCATACAAGACCAACATTTTCGCAGCGGCTTTAACATCGGCCAGGGGGAACTTTGGTGCTTTATTTCATATTTTTATTGCTTGTTGTGAGCTTACATTGGGCCGATTTTCATACATATTGTGGCATGTATGAATATTATTTTATTTATTATTTGTGACAATTTGAATTACAATGATATGAAGATGTATACTTAGCTTTTGTTGCTGTTCAGATGACTCTTTCCGCTAATCACACACACTGACCGCTTTTATTTATTAAGGAAAAGGTGATTCAAAAAAGGACAGAGAACCAGGATATCGATTCTCGCTCATTGATTCGCGCCCGTAGTATATTTGCTGTAGTATTCCTGGTTATTTTGTAATAACAATAAACAAATATTTCAATACGTTTTCTCGTACATTTTCGAATATCTGAAAATTAGCTACATGGACTTGGGAGTTCCTTGATAAACATAAATAACTTGTACACTTGTGAAATATCTCACGGGTCCATGCGGCTCGGACAACTCGATAAAGGCGCTCAAATCGACAGGCTAGTCGCGCGTGTTGGCGGTTTGCGTGAGCGTAGGCGCTTCGATGGTTTTTGAAATTTTGAAATTTTCGTAGCCCATATTTTAGGCGTCATTATGGAATAAATTTATGAAAATAATTTTAACGATGAAGTTGAATCATCGTGTATATCAGATAAAGCTCCTAGGGATAGCAATTAAAATTAAAAAATACTTAATCTATGCTGCTAGTCATTTAAATTGATATCTTTTAAATTGATAATACACAGACGATTTGTATAAATTCATCAGTTGTATTCTATGTTCCCAATGACTCAATGACGCCGCTTAAATAAGTCGGCACGATCTTGACTTGGAGACATCGATGCGACTCCGATCATGTTTTCCCCCCTTTTCAGTTTCACACATGATACACCTACAAACGCACATGACCTCGCGCATTAAGAATAAGAAATTTGACCAAGAAACGTCCGAATTACGATACAAATCTTAAATGCGCATCATCGGAGCGAAATTACGACCCAGCCGCACAACACGATAAATGCCTCCTGTCGCGCGCGCGAGCACACGACAATCGCAGCTTTCTATACGTTTACGAGCTACCTATAAATTATATATTACACGCGTACATCACGCGAGTATGCGCATGTATATCGCGGTGCTTTTGCGCGAGAGGGTACTAACGGCGGCGGGGGACGAGCCGCCCACTAATAGTTCGAAACGCGACGCGCTTATGTGTCATGGGCTTGATATTACTGCACATGCGATAATGATTATGCGACGAATTAACCTTCGCTTTAACCCCGCGACGTGAGCTGCTCCGCTCACGGAATATTATTATATACATCGGGTTTGCTCGAGCAATTATTGTATCGCCCTACATATATATCGTTCGGGTTTACCCTTTACAAATGTGCCACCTCGTTTCGCGTGTATAATTGCCCGCGTATATGTATACACACGATACATCCCGGCGAGCGATCATCGCGCTCGACTTACGTACGTTATTGTTCCGAGCGCGCTGTGTCCTTCGTGGCCTATAATTATTATTATTATTATTATTATTCACGAGGTTCGTGCCAGTGCGCGGCCGAAGACAACACGAGTTTTGATACTTGTGCTTACTGCCTGCTCGATTTTCAATACGAAGATGACGACGACGATGCCCTATAATAATCGCATGTCTCGAGAGACTTTGCGAGAAATTTCGTGACACGCGAAAAACAATAATGATCGTGACCCGCTAATTAAACGCAGATTCGCACAAAGATGCGCAGACGGTTTATGCTACAAGTTGCGTCCATAAAAATCGAGCTGGGGGTGGATGTGTAGAGGGGGATGACACAGGTGTGGAGCGCGCGACGTCAAAAAATTATGTTTGCTTACATTATATGGCGTGTAACGCGGCTCTCGCGATCCCGCAAAAAGTAATTGGCAGGTTGGGTAACGATTGCCCCGCTCGTAAAAAAAAGGGCAGAAGCTTTGCGCCCAGTTATTCAGTCGTGACATTTTGTTTTCAGTGAACAATTTCGCAATCTGCTGGTTCGGTTACCCCTAAAAAGCTTGCGTGGTCGTAAGGATCGATTTTATTAATAATAGTTTTTGTAACAACCATTTATTTTTTTCGAATGACATCACTTTTAACATCAACAGTTTTATTTTAATTAAAATAATTTTTTAATCACTAAATCTATTTATGTTACACGCTAGTGCATAAAATCATTCAATAATCACAGGGTAAAAAAGGTATGATCAATGTTTCACCCAGTGATTGAATAGAGCGATTGAATGAGTCTAAACGACGAGAATCGATTATTCCTTAAAAATGTTTACAATCATTGATGAAATGAAATTAGAAAAAGTGCCGCCTCCACGCAATCTTTTATTTGCCACTTATGTAATTTGAAAATCTTGAAAATACAATTTTTGATTGATAAAAGAAAAAACAATTATGAGAGCTTTTACTACTTTCAAAAAAATGTAGAAAACTCGCATGTCTGCCCGTGAGTTAATTCGGAATTGCGATATTATTACGTGACGTTTACCAAAAATCCAGTTCCAAACAAAATGTGAAAAAATTTCTCGATTTTGGTTGATATATATGTACAATTGTCAATCATCATTTCTTCTCACGAGTGTGCCATGCGCTATCATTTCAACTTTTATGGATCGCCCATTGGTGTTTCAACAAAACTGACTTATGTCTAAACTTCTTTTCGCACTTGAGGCATGCCTAATCTATACGACCTTCATAGACTGTCTTTTGGTGGGAGAGCAAATGTAGTTTCTGTCCAAATTTTTTTTCACATTTGTCACATGCGAAATCTTTGCGACATTCGTGTATTGTCCTTTGGTGTTTGAGCAAATTCGATACATATCCAAATTTCTTCGCACAGTGATTACATACGTAATCTTTGCGACCGTCATGTACTGCCCTTTGGTGCTGTAACATATCTGAGTTACTTATAAATTTATTCTCACACTTGTCGCATGCGAAATCTTTGCGACCTTCGTGGACTGTTTTTTGGTGGAAGAACAAATGCGATTTGTCTCTAAATTTATTTTCGCACTTGTCGCATGCGAAATCTTTGCGACCTTCGTGAATTATCTTTTGGTGCCGAAACAAATGGGATTTTACTCCGAATTTTTTCCCACATTCGTCACATGCGAAATCTTTGCGACCTTCGTGAACTATCTTTTGGTGTAAAACTAAATTATGTTTTGCTCCATAACTTTTCTCACATTTATCACATGAGTAGTCTTTCTGACCTTCGTGTATCGTCTTCAAGTGGAGTAGCAAAGTCGATTCGTATCCAAATTTTTTTTCGCAATTATCGCAAGCGAAATCTTTGCGAACTTCATGGATTGTCTTGTGACGAATCATCCTCCATTTTTTTCCAAATTTTTTTCCGCACTCGTCACATACGAAATCTTTGTGGCCCTTGTGTATCGTCCCTTGGTGCTTTAACAAGTCTGATTTATATCCGAATTTCTCGTCGCACTTAATGCATGCGAAATCTTTGCGATCTTCATGTAATATTTTTTGGTGTTTAATCAAATAGCCTCGTTCTCCAAATGACTTCTCGTTCTTGGCCCATGAGTAATCTTTCCGACTTTTGTGTTCTGTCCTTTCGTGTTTCAACAAATCTGACTTACGTCCAAATTTATTTTTGCAATTGTCACATGCATAATCTCTGCGACCTTCATGGACTGTATTTTGGTGCTCGATCCAATCTGATTTTTTTTCAAATTTCTTCTCACGCCTATCACAGGAGAAATTTTTGCGACCCTCATGGACTCTCTTCACGTGTGTTAGTAAACTCTGCTTACTTGCAAATCTCTTGGCGCACTTTTCGCATAAGTAATCTTTGAAAACTTCGTGGAATATTTTTTTGTGCTTGAGTAAAGTTGACTTATTTTCAAAATTCCTCTCGCACTTGTTGCACGAGAAATCTTGTCGATCTTTGTGTACTAATTTTTGGTGCGTGAACAAACTCGTTTTTTTCACAAATTTTTTCTCGCACTCATCGCATGTAAAATCTTTCCGGTCTTTGTATTTTTGTGTATTTTGTGTATTTTTTATGTAGTTTGTGTCGTCTGAAACAACATTGTCATGTTTACTTGAAATATAATATGATACAACTTCCTCGAGTTTCTTATCAATTTTATCCATTTCAGTGCTGGAATCAAACGATGTATCATTCTATTTGGTACTACGGAAACTGAATTAGTACAATTTATCTTTTTGTTTATGGGCTTGTTCCACCGAAAAAGACAACATTCAAATTAATTTGTTTTTAACTACAAAAACTTGATCTTCGAGTGACAATTTCAAAATTGTTTATGATCATATTGTTTACAATTAAGGTACCGATTTATCTGTTAATACATGGTTTTTACAACATCCGAAACAATTTTAAATTCCAACTTGGCGACGATTCCTTCGGAGAAATTTTCTTGCCTAGTAAAATTAAGTATTTCAAAAGAGCTTCCTATAAAATCGACTGATATCAAAAAAGTGAAAGTAACCTTCTGTCGTTGTCACTTTATCATGGTGTTAAAAATAACGAAAAAATAGTAAGCAGAGTTTTCACAATAGAAATTTGAATTTAGGCTTAGACGTATTAGAATTTCGCTGGTAAACTTCGGGTATACCACTTTTGAAGGAGCATGATGAAATTACGAATAAGTGAAAGTATTCTCTGAAACATCTTTCAGGTAGCGCCTAAAGATAATTCGCGCTCGTGCGTGTTTACCTATGATTTGCTCTATGTCAAACGACACGTCTGCTTGTTTGTATCTCTTTCAGTTTGGAGCCTCTTATTTTTTAAATTCTCTCAATCGAGGATTACAGCAAGCCAATAAGTGTGAATAATATAACATCGTACATAAGTGATTGTGTGTGTGAGTGCACAGAAAAATGTCTAAGCCATACAACAGAAGTTACGTTTACGATAACTTTGGAAACCCAGTCGGCAATTGTCGATTCCCCCATCAGCCTTATCAGAAAACAAGTTACGCTTACGATAACTTTAGAAACCCAGTCGGCAATCGGCAATTGCGCAATCAGCCCTATCGTAGTAATCGAGATCCGAACTCGTTTAACGAGTACCGGGGTCCACTTTTGCACTGCATCTGTGAGAGGTCCGGCAACGACGACGTTTATTCGGTGAAGTCGTTATTTTCTCCGAGCCGCGAGGGATATCAGCCGGTGCAAATCGACGCTCAGGACGATTTCGGCCGGACGGCGTTACACTTGGCCGTTTACAACAAACTCGAGAGGATAACGGAATTTTTGCTGAGTCGCGGCGCGAATCCGAACTTGGCCAACGACAAAGGGGAGACTCCGCTGCACGTCATTTGCCGCATCAACAGTGATCGGTTGGATTACATGCAATTCTATGAACAAGAAAAACGTATCATCGAGTTGCTGCTGGGACGAGGCGCTGATCCGAATGCGGCCGACGAGGATGGATTCACCCCTCTGCACGTGGTTTGCCAGAAAAAATGCGACGACTATTACGAAAGGAGATCGTGTATGAACGATAATGCGTACCGCAACTACCTAAGCGTGATCGAATCGATGCTGAGGCATGGTGCCGATCCGACCCTGGCCAATGTCGAGGGATGGACGCCTCTGCATCTTATTTGCAAAGGATACGGCGACGATCGTCAGTTGGCGGAGACGTTGTTCGAGCTCTGCGACCAAAGGTATCGGCCGTTTCTGCTCGACGCTCGAGACGCCATGGGCGAGACGCCACTTCACTTTGCCCTGCGCGATTCCAACGAACAGCTGATCCAGTGGCTGCTGCGGAGAGGGGCCAATAGGAATTTGGCTAATGCGAAAGGAGAGACTCCGCTACACGTCGTTTGCCAGAGACCCTTCGAAGCTGTCGGCTGGGCGAGGTGGATAATGGCGATCAGGAGCGACGACGACGACAGACATCCGCGAGTACGGATCGACGCCCGGGATAACTCGAACAATGCACCGCTGCACATAGCTGCTAGCCACGGCTACGTATATTTGGTCGATTTTCTGTTGGACAACGGCGCAAATCCTACTTTAGCCAACGATAAAGGAGACACTCCGCTGCACTTGATTTGCTGGAAAAAATGCCTCGACAATTACGCGAGGAGCATGACGATTAGAAGACGGAATCCGCTGCCGGTGAACTTGGATACGTACCGCAACTACCAAAGCGTGATCGAGTCGATGCTGAGACGAGGCGCCGATCCGAGCCTGGCCAATGCCGAGGGATCGACGCCTCTGCACCTAATTTGCAAAGGATATGGCGACGATCGTCAGTTGGCAGAGATGTTGTTCGAGCTCTGCGACCAAAGGTATCGGCCGTTTCCGGTCGACGCTCGGGACGGCAACGGCGAGACGGCGCTGCATTTGGCCACCAACCGATTAGGCAATAATAAATTAGTCGATTTTCTGTTGAGAAGAGGTGCCGATCAGAACGCAGTCAACGATAAAGGAGAGACTCCTCTGCACATCATTTGCCGAAGAGGCGATCTCCAAATGCTGCGGCTATTTTTCGAAATCAACCAACAAGTCGAAAGGGTCGTACAGGTTGATGCGAAGGACACATTGGGCCGGACACCTCTTCAATGGGCCGTGGCGAATTTTAAGCTTGACATGATAGACTTACTTTTGGATCGTGGTGCCGATCTGTCCAGCTTCGTTTTTCCCATCGAGCGTCATTTCTACGAGAGATTCGGAACGGACGACAAAGCACGGTCTATGATTAAAGCGGAACTAGTCCCTGGCATTATGATGGTCGTGGAACATCTCCAGAGCAAAGGATACGAATTGGAACTAAGCGACGCCGTGCATATCATGTCGTTGTTCGCCGAGTACGAATTACCATTTACCGAGTCGACGGATCTTGACAAACGTTGGTACGACGACGAGGAATTAGTGATCAAGTCACAAAAGATAATGGTGAATCCTAGTCTGTCGCTGCGCGACCTGATCCAGCTTCAACCCAAAGAGGCGGCTAAACAGCTCACGTACGTGGACTACTTCGAGTTCATGTGCTCGACAGGTTTAGAGGATTTGATTACTACGGACTTGAGGCACTTTCGGGCTTGCGTCGATTATCTGTGCGAGAAACTGTCGAGCAAATTTTTCCGGAGCTGGGCGCTGCAACCGTTCCAGAAATTGATTCACTATCGGCTGCCGATTGAGATCTGTGAAATTATTATCGAGACACTGACGAACAAAGATTTATGTCACATTTGCTTGGTGGCTGAAGGTCAAACCGTTGATTTTTAATTTCTCCGGTGTTAATGGTGTACATTTTTCATGTAATTAAAATCAATAAATTCGAAAAAAAATGTAACCTTTTACAACGCAAATATTACGATGATAGGATATAAGGCTTTATTCTTTTCCATAAAGACATTGAATACTAAAATCTGCCACTTTGTGTATTAAAAATCACCAACCATATCGACCCTCAAATTATTACCATAGATCAATTAGTATATCGACTTCCAACTCATTAACATAAATGAATTAATACATGGATTGTCTCTTTTACCATGAACACTCTTATCATTTTAATTAATTTTTTGTTGCAATTATAATAAAATAGAATCAAAATACTTAAACTTCGTCTAAGAAATCAAATCACAGAATTATAATCATTACAAAAATTATCTTGGCAGATAGTAAGAACGAATATTTAATAATCACTTAAATAAACTTCAAATCTTTTTCTTACTTCACGGACTCGTAAAGTAAAGAATTAATCCATACCAACGATTGAACAATTTCTCATTAATCTAATAAATTTTTCTTTATAAATTGAAAATGGTTTATTTTAATAAAGAAGATTATTAGTTTATTCGCATATAACCGGAACACGCAATTTTGGATTTTTTTTCGTTCAAAATAATTCTGAACATGGCAATTTCATCACTGTAAAATAAACCAACAAAAGCATAAGTGATTCTACGGAAAAAATGTTAACAAAATACGTTTTTCAGAAGATTCCCAGACATACATTTTTTTCTCAATTGTAAAACATTCAAGTAGCTTAATATGAAAATAAATGCGTGAGTGTTTATTTTTTCTGATGCCTTAAATTCTTCAAAGGAAATTCCTTGTGATAGTCCTTTTTGGAACTCTGAGCTCGATACACTACTCGTGAAGAAAAGGTATATAACTTGGATTACTTGGGCTACTTGGGTCATGTAATAATGAGTCTTTTATTGTGCAGGGCTGAGAAACGACCGACGGAGCTTGAAATTGTACCAGCGGCTGAAAACCCTCGACACGTTAAGCGGCGTGTGCTTCCTAAAAGGTGATAAATTATCAAATATAATAGCTTCTATTAACGACACTCAATCGGACATCTTAAAAATAATTTTCATTATACGACAGGGACTGGCCAAGGTCCATCATTTTCAAGGACGATGACATATGCGTGTCCACGATGAAGGAGGAAACTGTGAAAGGGGTCATCGACATTGACTCTTACCTGATCATGTCGACGACTATAAGGAGCTACAACGACATGGCTGTCCTCACGATTTTAAACGAAAAATTGTTCTACAAGAATTGCGAGAACGTTAAGGCACTGAAGGTTCTGGCCGATCACGTGTCCAAGATGACAACAAATAAAAAACTTTATGGAGGCCTTCAATTCGTAGAGGGACATTTAGCAAATTACGGCGACGACCAGATACATGTTGTATTTGCCGTAGACGAAAGAGCTGCGAATCATAATAGAATTTTGCCCAATTACATGAAATTTTATGTAAACAAGGTAGAAAAATATGATGAAATTGAGCAACTTCAACTATGATTAATAATTCATGTTCAAATTATAGGTTTTCATCCCTGCGATCAAGAGCTTGCCTAAGAATACGGAAACGGTCTTGCAATTCAGCGACACAAAACCGAAAATTCACGTGTTCCATTCCGAAATAGAGGCCTTTGATAAGGAGCTGGAGAAAAGAACGAGAGGCTACATTAATGGCGATCAATGGCTCTTACAGATTTTCTTTTATAAAGCACATCACAATATGAAAAGCAATGTTAGTAATGCAGCAGTCCATTTTTCATTACATATCAATAATATACGAATTTGCCCGAAAAATGGAGGAAAACGATCTCTAATATACTGTTTCTTTACAGAAATCTATTGGGCTCAAAGAAATCCAGCAGTCTATTAAAAAGGACCCTCAGGATATATTATTTATACAAGTACACACGGGATGTGTAATTAGCCACGAGAACAATTGCGTGCTCTTCGATTATGACCGCATTTAGGAGGTGAGCTTTTTTGGATTACTTGGATTACTTGGATTACTTGGGTTACTTGGGTTACTTGGGGTTACTTGGGGGTGGTTACTCATGTGGAAAATTTCAATTCCAGATTTTCCAGAACAAGGACATTTGCCAAAACAATTCTTATTTCATCAATAAGATTGGCCACTTTTTTGCCAATTCGGCACTTGCTAATTTTCCACAAATTAGTAATATTATTACATATGAGCCTCAGCAACATAGGATCGAGAAAAATCTCTATAAACGCAAAATGATTGCGCTTTTCATGACGAACGGTCTGCATGGGAAGAAATTGGATAACATGCGCCGAGATATAACCATTCTTCGCTCGAAGTTACTATCTTTTCTAGATTCCATCCAAACTAATCCAACGACTCGAATCGAAATTGTCGAAACCTTTTCTGTTCGAGACATAAATAAAGCCAAGTTTCCTACTATTTATGACTCGAGCAATAAATCCTGCGTTCAGTACTCCACCATCATTTTAGGCCTTGTACGCTTTTTGCAGTCTACAGGCGCAATGGTGAAAATTCAAGGATGGTCCAAGTACGTTGGTCGGTCTATGCAACAAAATATACAGTTTCTCCAGGTAATGTGATGAATAATATTTTATTCGTGGACGTTGTGTGTTAGTAGCCTAAACTTTGATTGGCTCTTGTGTTTTTCCAGAACCAATTCGTACAGTTGAAGCGACCACCAACGCGCTCTGAGGTTGACAGAGCGTACAAATTAATCGAGCAAACAATTGCCTTTGTGGATGGACGATACACGAGGAAAACCCCGAGGGTTGATTTGGCTTACCTCCAATCGATTAGGCAGAAAGAAAATGGGTTTTTCGACCTATATCGACCTGATATACCAAGCCTGGACAACAAATTCGAAAAGTCGCCAGACTATTTTAAAATCACCCCTTACGATAAAACAAGTTATTCTACCTATTTTGAGCTTATATATCGTTCTTTAAAAAAATCACCACTCGCAAATGTTGACGATATTTCAAGGATCGGGTTATTGTTCGAGTTTATGGCAAAAGCCAGACACTTTCTCATTTACTCGACCTACCCTGACAATGACCAGAATCTGGAGGGATTTTTTGCGAGTGTTGAGGAGCACGTCGTACCGTTGTAGCGTTAGGTTAGGTGGGGAAAAATAAATAAAAGAAAGAAAACTTGAGCTACTAAATAAATGTCGAGTTGATTATTAATTAAATTATAATTGTATGGTGTAATTTTGAAGGGCGCCACTGCATGAGACGGCATGCAGACCGTCGTGATAATTTTCTTGTATTCGTTTTCCGCGAGTTCGCGTCGACCGGCTCGGCTCGTCGGCAAGATGTGATTTTCCCCGGGTGCGAGTAAATAAACGTACGCGACGGACGCGGCGACTCGACGGTGAAATTACGGCTTAAAAACTACCTTGCGCAAGGATCTTCGGCACGTCGCTGGGTCGTCGTCGTCGTCTCGTCTCGGCGTCGTGATGATGGCCGCTGATGGTGTCGATGATTTTATGGCACAAAACTTCACTTGGACTCGTCAGTCCAAGTGGATGGTTTTTAACTCGTCGAGCACACACACACAATATATTTGCAAAACGGCAAATTCGGCGTTCGGCTTCGTTCGAGGTTAGTCGCCTCGTTTCGCTTCTCGTGGCACGAGAGATTCTGCGATCTTTTTCGCTGCTCGATAGATCGCAGCGTCGCGCGCGCCTCTCTTGGCGCTGCGTGTCGTGATTCGGAGGCACGTGTCGTTGCCTGCTCGTCACGTCGTGTGTGTACGCGCGTGTGAGTGTGCGTGTATCCTGCGTGTGCTCGACGCATGTGTGTGTGTGCGTCGCTTCGCCTCGTTGTCGTCCCGTCTCTGCTGCGTATGTGCGTGTCCATTGTATAATCTATTGTATACGCGCGAATGCCGGCTCGCGGGCCTCGTAAGTCGCCACTTGTAGCCAGTACATTAGATGTACTGCTACAATGTGACGGACCATAAGGCGGTCTATGATTCGTTCACCGACCCGAAACACGTAAGTTTTTTTTCTTTTACAGCTGGCTGAAATTACAACTAACTCTACTCATTGTCTTTCTTCCGTTAGCTTCTAGTCGTACTCATCAAAAGCACCATTTTTGGCGACCAAAAGGCGCTGCCACCAAGTGCTATGACCTTCATTAGAAATCACGTCAAGTATTGGCCGACCGTGTTTTTTAATGAAAATGTCAAGCCAACACAGTGGACAAAAATCGTCGAAACGAGGGAGGTTCGAAAAACCGTTGCATCCATCAATGCCAGCTGCATGCAACGAATGAACCTGGTGCAGTTCTCTGAGAAAAGAGTTACCGTGAAACCGGCGACACAAGTTGGAATGGTCGACCTGGAAACGGAGCAAGTATTTTCCTTTTATCGTGACGTAGCCCGTGAACGTGACCAACGTGATAAGGAAGCTCAAACTCTTGCTTGTACCGAATGCAAGCAAATTTTAATTGATGTTTTTTTACAATGCTATCACATACTAGTTTATTCGAGTGTATTGGATTAGCAACTACCTTTAATTCTTGATATTAAGCCTCAAATCTCATTCTCCAAGTATTTACAAAAGGGCCAGTCCCTCTCATAACAGAGAATAGATGTACTGCTATGTGGTCTTTAGATTTAAGCGGTCTTTTTAATACTTGAATTACTAGGGAATGTCCTTTTATGAGATTTTTTAAAAGCTTACTACACCCATGTTGCAAGGCAGGGCAACTGGCTAGACCTACAATCTTGTGCAATACAATATACACATTCCATGCCGGATCATCTATTGGTATAAGATCTCCAATCAAAACTCCAAAGTGAGCTGTGAATTGAAACTCAGAAGCTGACATACGTATGTAATCGTTTTATAAAAATTCTATAAAAATGTAATTAGAATCAATCAACGATCAAAAGAATTTCACAAAATATTCTCTAAAACGATTCGATGAAAAAAAAAAATTTGTTTCAAAATTAATATATGAGAAATTTAATGAAATGGACAACTTATCTCATGAAAGTAGCTTCGAAATAGTGTGATACAGTTCAAGTATATATCAACATTGATAAAATCGTCACTAAGCACTCGCTATAACTGTTGAATATTTCGTAAAAACAAACGAAATTATTACAAATCCACAAATTAAAGCATAAGATTAATTGACCATATCGACTGTAAAACTGTATAACAGTAAAACTCGAATGAAAACATATACTCTTATTCTCTTTGTTATTGTTATTACGAATGAAATTATCAAAACCAACTTTCAAAATTAAAATTGATTTTTGTTTTATAACTTGTATGCAAACAACCAAGCAAAATAAATTAAATATTTATAATACAACTTTAGAAGACAAAATGATTAGGGCCCGCCCTGGGCCCCAGGTACACGGTAATACATTTTTACAGTGATATTCGTTTTCAGCGACCCCAAAATTCCCCAAATAACGAGCTTCAACGAGATATGTTGAATATTCCCATAAAACTGCAGGAGACGAGGTATATAGGGCCCTCCCTGGGCCCCAGGTACATGGTAGAACATTTTCACAGTGATATTCGTTTTCAGCGACCCCAAAAACCCCCAAGTAACGAGCTTCAACGAGATATGTTGAATATTCCCATAAAACTGCAGGAGACGAGGTATATAGGGCCCGCCCTGGGCCCCAGGTACATGGTAGTACATTTTCGTTGTGATAGTCGTTTTCAGCGACCCCAAAAATCCCCGAGTGCAGAAATTAGACTCATTTTTACCGATATTTAGTGAAATACACATACTCAAAAAATGCTATGCGGTCCTCCCGCTAAAGAAGTTGACTTGAAACGATTCCTTAATGTTTTTTTGCGCTTTGTTTTATAGATTGGCAGATAGTGACCGATAATAGTTTAAAAATTTAAAAATTAAAAAAATTTTTTTTTCGGAATAACGTTTTTTTTATAAAACCATCCATAACTTTTAATTTTTTTAAGTTCTCTAGACCCCATTTTTAGCAAAAGTACATCGGTTCAAAAAAATATCAAAAATGTGTCCGTCCCGGACTTCATGGGTTAATTGTACAAGAAATATAGAATCACTTTAAAATTAAATTTTTTTTTATTGAACAATTTCTGACGTCTATTTGCATCATAAAAAATACTTATCTTAAGCACAATATCACAAAACATTTGATTTCAATAATATTTGCTTAAGTAATAATTACAAGTTGTATTATTTGAGTTACACGAAACATTTTTAGAAATAATTAAATGTTATTCAAATTACAACGAAAAAAAGATACAAGTGTACTTATTTACATAAAAATTCACATTTATCAGAACTATTGACTAAAAAACTTCTGTACAAATGAAATTAATCTTTTTTTAAGGGAGGATGGGTGATTGCGGCGCACATCGTTTACTCTGTTGGCAGGTGTCGTTTGCTCTAGATCACTTTCTTCGGTCTTCTCGCACATGCGAAACAAGTCTTCGTCTTTCATGTACCCAGCAATCGTTCGGCAGACAGTATATGGAAGATTCAGTTTACAATGATCCATCATGAACAGATCGGCGGCCAACAGTTCGAATTGCAGCCTCAACAGAACATTTGCTATGTGTTTTTTTACTGCTAATCTGGTAGAAAAATTTAGTGCTATTAAACGATAATCCTTAATTCTGCTGAAAATGGAGGAAGCATCGCGATAACTCATTTGGCAAATTTGTAAGAGCGAGACGTCTTTATTCACCATGATGCCTTTCATTTTCTCAACTTCTGGCATTATGCAGCAGATCTTGTAACCTTGAGTAACAAGATCAACCGACATCATAATTTGCCCATTAACTGATGATCTCAATTCTTCATGTTTTTTACGCAAGTAATCAACACTTTCTTGATCCAAATAAAAACCAAATCCTTCATAAATGGATAGGCAACACTCAGTACGCATGAGATTCTTTGTTTCACTCACTGATCTGTTGGATGAATCGTCGTCCACAATCAAACTTTTCATATCGCATCTTCGAAAAGATTTCAAAATTTTCAGTCGAGTGAAAACGTCCCAAGAAAATCCATTTGACGACAACAACCGAATCATCTCGGCCATGTAAAAAGTAATGGGATAATCATTCAATTCTGATGAAGTATAATCCGTGCTAAACGCAATATTCTCCCTCAAATTGTCAAGACTCGCACCTCGTTCCAAGAGTGACTTTGTCAGCTCATAGTCCAAAAGCGACACCGCCAATTCCAGAGGTGTGAAACCTCGAGCATTCCGTGTCTCGATATTTGCTCCTTTAGCGACGAGTAAGTCGACGATCTCATCGACTGGTCTTCTTTTTCTCTCTCCCTCTTCGTCTGTATTGTCGATACAAAATTCGTTACAGTCACACACACGCAGTCGCGCCAACGCATGAAGCGGAGTCGACTTATCTTTTTTTCTCAACTGATTTGGTTCCGCTCCGTTTTCCAACAGTACTTTCACGACATCCACTCGGCGGTATTTGCAGGCTATGTGCAGCGGCGAGCACGTGTACGAGTCGACATCGACGTCCACGCCTTGGCTTATGAATCGTTGCACCGCCTCGATATCGCCACTAAAACAGGCTCCGTGTAAATAAGTGAATCCATGATCGTCGCTATGATTTTTCTCGGAATTTTTCAGAAAAACACCAATGAGAGACTTGGTCACTGGGTCATCGTAAGCATGATATTTGCCTTTTTTGTATTGGAGATTGACGAAATAATGAATTGCAGACATTCCATCTATACATTTTTTATGAATATTTACCCCCATGTGCTCCTTTATAAATGTAAATAAGTTGGGAAGCTTCTCGTCCAATGCTATTTTGAATATCGTCGATGGTTTTACACTTTTTATCATATCTTTTAGTTCTATGATTTCTTCGAAATCCATTGGATTGGTATTTCTCCTGAACGTGCTCAATATGTGACTTATGTTTTCCTCTTTGGAAAAATTTGTTGTAAAATTATGTCTTGCCATGATAGATTTAGATTCTAGTAGTGAACACTTTTAACACGTGGTCGAACCTGATCACTCACCAACACTCGAGAAAAGTAAAAGTTGAAACGAAGATGTGAACAGCTTCACTAACTTGTACAGACTGATGCTTGTAATGCACATGTATGATGATACAGGATGTATTTTAGAAAGTATATTCGATGTTTCAAAAGTATCAGCCTCAAACACGTGCGTTGAGTGGGACGCATACGATGTCGCGCATCGGCTCTTGTCGAATGAATTTTTGAGTGCAGACAGGCATGTTGTTAGCGATAATTAAATAAAGCTGCAACAGAGGGCTAAAAATTCTTATTTCTACGAGGAAGCTTTTTGAAAATAAATTGGCAGCGGTTTTTTTTTCTGCAGCGAAGAAATCTATTAAAGCACTGGGTAAAACATTGTTTTCATACCAGTGGCCCGAAAATGACTACTTCCCCGCCGCTGCGCAAAGCAGGAAGAACGATTTTCGGCCCACTGTGTATGAAAAATAGTATACAGACCAATGCCGCGAAAAAAGAAACCCTTGGGCAGTGTCCGAGCTTTGAAATCGAGTCGATGCAAATGCAGAAACCGTCTGAAAAAATTTCTAGGCTAAAAGAACATAAGAACGATAATAGCAAGAAAAAATCTAAGAGCGAGCCTCATCTAAAAATACCCGAGAAAAAAAGTAAACTTGCGATATGAAAGGGGGGATTGACTTTATTCGTTTTGGTTGTCATGTTTTGTTTATTACCTTAGCTCTGATCTGTTCTCTTACTAACGTTGATTATCTTCTTATTAATTTTAATATTTTTTCCAGTCTTTCAGCCAAGCACACGAGTTAAAAATGGTGCACATGACGATGGACAAGAAACCCTCGAGCAGTGTCCGAGCCTTGAAATTGAGTCGATGCAAATTCAAATAACTCTGCGAGAACATACAATTGTATTTGAATTCCCTTACAAGTCCAGAACCGAATTTGTATTTTTACGCTACCTTCCAAGTTCTCACTATTCAGGTGCACAAAAAATACTACCTGAGACCTTTCGAAGCTCAAGACGCAACATTCGATCGGGTTTCAATATTAATAGTAAAAGCATTATATAATTTGTAAGTGAGCTGCAGTCTTTCCTTCCCTGTGGTAAGTTTGACTACAGCCCCGTTTTTATACTCGCGCAGCAAGCGATACGAATATTTCAGCGAGTCCACTTTGCAGAAGCACTCGCTACTACCCATCATCCTATACTCATTTGCACGCGCTTAAGGAGGCTCTTTCGGTGTAAGTTTTCTCACAGTGAGAGAGCGCCGAAATCATGCATGATGCAGTACGCACGGCAGTGCGCATGCGCCGTGCGGCTCAATTTCCAGTCCGAGCTGTCAACTGATGCGTCGTCTGTATTGCTGATGTACCGGCTCGTAACAAACAACATCAGTACGCCCAAATGGCCAAGATGAGAGTGGATAAAAATGTTTTAAGTAGCACATTTGAAGCAGGTGGACATGAGGCTTTGAAAAAGTTGCTACAGGAAGACGTTGGAGGCAAGCCCCGCGTGACCAAAAATAAGGGAGTAATCCAAAGTATTTTAAGTTTATTTCCAGTGAAAGATTAAGAAATAACAATTTATTTTTAAAATTAAATAAGTGTTGAATTTTTAAAAAATTTTGAATTTTATAAAATAAATTATTAAAAGATTTTTAATTTTTATAAAATAAATTGTTAAAAAATTTTTAATTTGTATGAAATAAATCGTTTAAACAATTTCTGTATCTATATTTTTAATAATTAAATAGATTTGTTATGAAATTAAAACAAATTTATACTTTTCGTCAATTGAAATTGTAACTTTCAGTTTGAGGCGATTTTGAATTTCGCGCGGATAGGTCCGCTACGTAGTGCCCTATCGGGTTTGCACCCGATTGTCGGAAAAACTGTATACATTTTTTGTCCATTTTTTTCAAAATTATATATTTTTTTCTTTCATATTGTATAAAACTAGTTAATACTGATAAATATAAAAGCTTGAATTTGTGCTAGTTTCATTTCAAATACTGTACCCACATTTTCTCATCATTTTTCATTGGTTCCTTTCAATCGGGTAATGTAGTAACTTCGATACAAGTATATTGAACTTTTTTTATAGACAAGGAGAACTAGAAATTGTGCAATTGAAAAAATGAAAAAATTCATCCGTATTCGTCGAACGATTTCAAACATAGTTTGTTATTTCAACTTTTTGTTAAAATAACCTTTCATTATAAAAACCACAAATATAGCAAGTAAAGAAAAGTTTACATATTTTTTACTCGATTATGATCAACTTGATAAAAAAAAATTTATGGTTCCAAAAAGTCTTTAAAATAGTTATATGTGAATTTTGCAGAACTTCTTAGACCACTTTGAAAATTTAGTCACATGGCCAGGTTGGAAAAATTTCAAAAAAATTGAAAATAGATCTAAAAAAATCACACTAATTCTGCGAACGAATTTAAACATTTTTTATTTAGGTAGAAAATTGACTTTGAAATAGAATTTCAAGTTTAATTCCAAAATTAATAATGATAATATTCATCAGCCGAGAAATTCACACCAGATTTTGAAAAAGCACACCCAAAAACCCATAGGTATATAATATTCTCAAGAAAAATTATTAAGTTAATCCATTGTTAACACGGCAGAAAATAAGAGAAATGTGTTAGACTCTTAATATCTTTTGAAAATAGTTGGACACACTCATTTATAATTATATCATTCGAAAGCAAATAAGATTTCTTGTAAGATATATTAATTTCATTAACTTGTGAAGTGATTTGAGCTACACGAAAAACTGCCATACAATTTGTAATGATCTATCGATCATTTATTTTATAAAAGCAAGAGATATGCGTCACAAGTAGCGTACAGAATTGTACATCTCTTACGTTCACATAAGAACGTAGCGGTATGAATGACACACGAACAGGCGAGCGCATAATCAAGAGCAACGATGTGTGAGTGAGCACACGTATAAGCAGTCGCAGCACTGTGTGAGTGAGCGCACGAATGAAGTACTGTATGAAATTTATGTACGAAATTTAACGTATAAAGACACGCGCCTAAAAGTATGACTACAATGGAAATTATTGAAGGGCATGACTTTGTGTCGACCAATATGTACAATAACAGGTCTCTGACACAACAATTAAGCAATATAATTCGGCGAATTACTGATATGCGCTTTCCTCTGATTTTTAGTAAGCAAGGGGTGAGAGCATATCGAAAACATGTTGACAAAAAGTATGAAAAACTGAGAGTATATAAAGAAGCTCCTGAGCTAAAGAGAGAGTCAGACGAATTGTAACGGTTAACAAGGGCGAAGCTCCGTGCGAAAGTAATTTATATTCACCAACTAAAAAGTTCAAGTTTTGCAAGTGAATCGAAGTGCAGTGAGAATAATCCATCTCCAAACTCTGCAAGCTGTTGAAGCTAGAGAATCATCAAAAAGTACTGCAGATCAGCAGGCCTTCGGCCTATCAATTCATTGAAGTACAGCTTTCAACTCTACAGCAGCCGTCTAAACGAAACAAAGTACCAACGCCGTTAAAAGAACTCTGGTTGTCTACATAAGCAGTAAGCCAAGAAATATTTGTTAAGCAGAGAACTTTAAATCGTAAATAAATCAATGTGTGCATTTTAAAAGTAATGAATGTGATAATATTATTTGTAAACCCTCTCCCTATACACTACGCTGAGAGCATTAAGAGACAACAGTAAGTTCATTTATTTAACGAAGTAATTGAGCCAGGAAAAGGGCTCATTACAAATTCAATGTTAAATGGCCAAAACTTTAAATCTCATTATTTCACAAGTTTGCACGGAAACCCCAAATTTTTTTTTCACCAAAAATTTTGTAATTTCATAAACTATCATTGGTAAAAATTTCACTTCGACCCAAAGTTTTTTTTCATTTTCACTATGCAGCCTCCTCAAACGCTGCTAAAACATGTATAGCTCGTGCAAATGCCACGGTAATACGATCTATCTGCAGGCACTCGGCAGGCAGCGCCTGAGCGTATAACAGCGGCGGTCGCGTATTATGCCGGGCGTCCAACGAACGCCTGGAGATCGTCACGCACCGAAATCAGTTTTTTTATTTTTTTTCGACGTAAATTGTCAACGCAAGGCCTTTGTTTTAATCGCGCCATAGCAGGAACGAGCCAGTACGAATCGAGTAACCGCCCGAGTTGTATGACTTTGCTCGCTCTCGCCCGTTAATACATTACACAATCTGCACTCAAATTTTTCATTCAAAAAGTTTTTAAACATTATCTCCTGTAGTTTTTGCGCTTGTGTGCTACTCTGCGTGCTATAATTCGTTGGGTGTGTTTGTTCGTGCGTGCGTGCGTTAGTACAAAAGTGAATAATATCTCATACAGAGTCTCTATTATAGACATGTCTCCCAAGGACGAATCCGTCCCGTATCCGTTGCACTTGGCTCTGGAGAAGGGCGACTGGAGCACGGCCGAGTCACTGCTGACGAGCGGCGTCGATCCCAATTCCACCGACGAGGACGGCTCGACGCCTCTGCACGTCGTTTGCCGGAGGCACGACGTCGACTCGGCGGAGAGGTTTTTCGCGCTCTGCGCCAGCCACGGGCACGTGCCGCTGATCGACGCTCGGGACAACGAGGGCAAGGCGCCGCTCCACCTGGCTCTGCCTCGCGGTCTCAGGAACCTGGACGAGTTTCTGCTGAGCAACGGAGCCGATCCGAACGCGCTCGACGCCGAGGGCGCGGCGCCTCTGCATTACGTTTGCCGGGGATTAGTGGATCCTCGCGTTTTGTTGAAAATCGTTTTCCAGCACATGGGCGTACGAGAGGAGGCTTGGGATGAATTAGCCGAGCGACTCGCGCGGTCTGGTACGGACGTGTTGGACTTCGAGAAGGCAATGATCGGATCGCTGCTGACGAGAGGGGCCGATCCTAATCTGGCCAACGCGAGAGGAGAGACGCCGCTTCACGTTATCTGCCAGAGGGATTTCTCCGAGGGCTTGGCAAAGATATTTCTCGATCTCAACGCGCAAATCAATGGGTCTACGCCGAGGCTCGACGCGAAGGACGAGTTGGACCACACGGCGCTCGACTGGGCCGTGGCTCGTCTCAAGCTGGACGCGACGCAGGCGCTCCTGGCTCGTGGCGCCGACCCGTCCGGCTTGGTTTTCCCCACGGCTAGTCGGCACGAGGAGGGATTCGGCCAGCCATGGAACGACGTCTTCGTGAGCAAAGATCATTACAGGCTGTCCGACGCTCTGGCCATCGTCGAGCTGCTGACGAGCAAAGGCTACGAGCTGGCGCGCAGCGACGCCCTGACGATCGCGCGATTCCTCTCCGAGCGCGAATTTTTCGTCAAAGTGCTCGAGCTCGAGAAGTTCGTCGACAGAGCGAAGAGGATAAAGATAAGAATTGCCAGCGACGGTTCGAGACTGTCGCTGCACGAGCTGATTCAGCTGCCGTACCAGGAGGCCGCTGAATTGCTCTCGTATCGGGAGTACTTCGAGCAGGCGCACGAGAAAAGTTTTGCCAAGGATCTACTGCCCCCGAGCGTCAAGGAGAAATGCGCCGCGCATCTGTTTGCGAAGCTGTCGAGAGGATTTTTCCGCGACTGGGCTCTGGAATCGTTGGTCGAGCTGACGCGCCACAGGATGCGGCTCGAGTGCTGCGAAGTGATAGTCGACAAGCTGACGAACCAGGATCTGTGTAATATCTGCGTGGCGGCTAACGTTTGAATTGCTTCGATAATAAAAACAAAAATGAATTGATTAAATACGTTGAATAAAAATACGTTCAAGCTTTGATAATAAAAACAAAAATGAATTAATTAAATTGCTTGTGTCAACATTTTTTTCACGACCTTAATTTCATTCGAAGGAAAAATGAACGATAGTTTCGGATTGTAGTGATAAAATCAATGTTTTTTATTCATAACTTGGCAGATAAACGACGCAGCGTTATCATACGAAATACAATCGCAGATGAGACGATCTTTTCTTTATTTCGGTTGCAAGCTCCAGCAGAAGTTATAAATAACAACATGTCATCTCTTTTTTATGGTAACAAAAAAAAGGGAAAAAGTAAACGATCAACTTATACGACAAAAAAGAAGGCTAGAAAGAAAGCGCGATAAAGAGAAGTTTAAAGTAAACGATGTACGAAATTAATGTTAAGATCTTTTCTTTTCTTTTTTTTTTTTTCATTTTCGAAAATGATTCTTCAGGCGACTTGGCGACGACGACGACGACGACGTGAGTACACCGTGTCACGAAGCTCTCTTTAGATCTCTCGATTGGCCATCATACACGACGCCAATTTGCAGAAATCGTTTTGGCCTGTAACGAGCGAAACGAGCGAGCGTGTCATAATAATAATAAAGTCGATATTCTATCGTTCGATTGTAGCAGAAAAATTGCGATACGTCTTTCACTGTACCTTGAGCTTTGCACGTATCGATGGCTTTGTTCAGCGTCTCCAAGTTCGTGCTGAATTTCGAGCGGAGATTTTCCTCGTTCAGTGCGCCGTCGGTCTTCATCTGCGAAGGGATTTCACGATTTTAAATGATTCGATCGCGATGTCATTTCAAAAAGAAGGGAAAAATAGAAAATGGATGATATTTACCAAGTTCATTTTCTTCATCATGCACGCGTAGTAGCAGTTTCTCTTCTGCTCCATGTTCTCCGGGACTTTGGCGTTCCTCAAGCCGGCCGGGTATTGGGCTGTTTCGAATCGCGACGCAAATTTCGCATCGTAAATTATACGTTCAAATTGAAAATAAGACTAGGGTGACGGAGAAAAATAAAGTCGAAGCTTACCCGCGTCGAAACCATTTTCCGTGAGGCAAGCCTTGATCAGGTCCTTGCTAACTGCTTGATCCTTGATTGGATCTTCCTGTAAACAGAAAATTATAAAAAATCGTTTCAAATTCAAGCTTTGTTTAAATTCTAGAATTAAAATTTCAAAAAAAGTACGCTTCTTTCATTGCTGGATTCGAAGAATTACTAAAATGACCATACCTCGAATGAAACTTTAATACAGCGATAATAAAGCAAACGTAAAAATAAACACCGTCAAATGAGTCATAACGACCACAGAGGCTCTCAGAAAAAGATTAAGTAGAGGTTTCAGAAATCACTCAGAAAGCTAGCTACGTTTCTGCTGTCTAATATTTATGCTCATTAAAAATACTTGAAAATATTTCACGCGATCCTTCAAATATCTCTCCACGTCGAAATCAAAGCTCATCGTTATCATATACTTACGGCGAACACTGCAACGAAGCACACGACGAGAAGGAAAGCGGCAGTCTTCATGGCTATTGGAACGTTTACGTAGTATACTATCGGCAACAACAACAAAAAACGATCGAAAGCAAGTAGCTATGCAGTTTTCACGAAAAGCCGAACTGTGTGCGTGGGCGCAGAGAGGCGATGCAACAAACTGAATGACAGCCGGCCACTTCGGCCACGGACTCTTATATACCTCGCTCTTATCCTGCGCTTGTGCATAAACACGCACGCACACAAACACACATACGAGGCTCGGATGTGCATCGTGCTGCACACAGGGCATTAATCGTCCACAATCGCGTATCCCAGACGCGATACGTACAGTGGCTGCAGTGATGTGTGTATACGTATGGTCAATAATGATGATGCTGCTGCTGCGACACCGAAACAATAAAAAATATATACAAGCGGGGGGTAGGGGGATCTCTCTCGAGTAGCAGCAGTAGCCTCGACGATTGATAAATTGTCATGTGTGCGTGTGTGTGCATGTGTGCGTGCATGCCCTTTAACAGAGAAAGCGAGAGAGGCCCCCACGAGCAGAGCCGTCGCACCGATAAAAAGCTCCACTTACGTATGATGCGTATATTTTGATTCATGTAATTCAATGCGACGCGACTGCTCGCTTAACGCTTGCATACGATATTACGCGCAGGTCTAATTACGATATTTATCTTCATTTTCAGCACCTGATCGCATGAGTTTTATGAAGCCGATTCCGATTTTCGTACTTAGCCTCTTCTTACTTTTTTTTATTTTTTTATCATCGTCTCTCGGTCTCGCGTGCATTATACTGTAGCAGCATATCGCGCGTGAGAAATGAATGGAAATTGATCACATCGCGCTCGACTTGGCACGCGATACGCGCGTATAAGTTATAGCGAAGACGAAACAATGTCTCGTTATTGCATCGGATGCATCCAATTATTTCTGCAAATATGCCGTACGCGATCTTCTTTCTCTCAAGGTTGGCGCATAATTAATCACCTCGCGTCTCCGATACGAAAAATTTTTTACAACTAAATGTATGCGCACGAATCTGGTGCACCACGATAGCGCGCGCACACACACGCCAAAGTCGTATAATTCGTACGTATACGCGATTGCTAAGCAGCGATGAATTATACGAGATAAAGATGTGTATAACGTTGTGGAGGGAGAGAGAGAAAAAAATTTTTTTCGACTCATAAGCGCGATGGAAAAAAGTCGAGCAACTCGAGCGGGTAATAGCCGTGAACAAAAAATAAGTAACAACGATCGAACAAACAATATAAGCGTGCGGAGCTTGGGCAAACATTAGCCAAGCGCCCAGAGAGAGAGAGAGAGAGAGTCAAGTCAAGTCAAAAGTTACCACCTATATCATCACCCTTCCTCCTCATTTCTATGTAAACAAAAATGTATGTGTAAAAAAAAGAGAACGAGGCGCGAAAACTTTAGGCGTTAAAAAAAAGAGGAGCGTGGAAGGGTTGTTTCGAATGTACATAAGATAGCGCGCGGGCGTCAAAGTAAACGCCGAAGGCGTCGCGCAAGCATATCATAACCCGCGCACGGCTCGTCGTCGTCGTCATCGCCCGCACACGCGACGATCACCGCGTATAGTTTGTCGCGTGAGCAAAGCACACCTGTGTGTATGTGTACATTACATGCATCTACCCCCTTTTTTTCGATGCTCGCACGTGTCTGCGGCACGCGGCGATACATATAATGCAATAATGTATACAACTAATTTGCCAAGTTATAATTTGATTCGGTGATATGCATTGGAATTTTTTTTTTACTATTTGGCGTCCCTGTACGTCGATGCACGCTAAATCGTAATGAGAACTGCTACTGTAATGTTTAGCGAGTTTTCGGTAAATGACGCACACGATCGTTCTGGGTATTATAACATTTTTAACGAGTTTCAGATTGTATGAAAACAAAACTGGCGCTGAAAGGAAATATTTATATTGATGTGAAAATTTATGTAAAAGCGGATGTAATTAAATTTGATAGTTACGTTCGTAAATCGTATCCGATTAAAAAAATTTAACGTTAGTCTAGAAATTGTACTGTTTACGTACGGAACGTTATTGTATTATGAGTGAGTTGTCGCGAGTAACGAGACACCAATGTTTATGTCCGTTCCGAGAGTCTAAGCCCGGCATTTCTTTTCGAAGTGTATATTTATCGAGCCGATCCTAAACATTCATCAGTCAAAGGGCATTGATTCAAGAAGTCAACAAAGACTTAATCTGGACTTGATAATATAGGTATAATATATATACGATTATTTTCACTTTTCCGCTTGCAGATTTACTATAATGCAGGTACTAGCCATCTATCGGTGGAGACTGGCTTCAATAATAACTGAATTTCACATACAATTTTTTTGATTAATTCAAGCAACAAAATCAATATTAAGACATTAATTTTCAATAACAATGTATATCTTGAAGATATATAATTGAATTATTTATAATTTATTTTGCAAAAAAATACATGTCGCATACATAATGTATAGGCTGCCTCGCGCTCGCAAAACATTACTGCGCGAAGCGCAATAAAGTAATTTATGTGCGTGCATTTTTGCACTGATACATTCATTTTCAAAAAAGATTTTACGTTAGAAGTATCCTTGATAAAATTCGGAATCGGTAATTTCAATCTTGATAACCGATTTAACACTTCATCTGCACTAAATGTAAATTTTTTATTTGTAATTATTCATCATGTATACAATATCTTCTCTCCATCTCCCTGCTCCATCGCTCGCTCGCTGCATCAATACAGCGAGGAAGAAATTTTATTATAATCGGACGACACACCGAGACAGAGAGAAAGAGTCGAGTGGAAAAGTTCGCCTTCGCACACACACACACGCACACGATGATCGCCGCCGCCGAGCAGTTGCTGCCTATACACACGATCGAATATAATTATGTTGTCAGAGGCTTTAAATCATGCGTCCCATTGTAATGAAATTACGTGTGTTGTGTGTGTGTCTGTGAGTGCGGCACTTGCGCGCAGGGGTACTGTACGACGTGCATCGTTCGTGCGTCGCGTTTAGATTCCATTTACAAAAAGCTCCGCGCGTCAATTTTATAATGTACATACGATACACAACGTTCGGCAGTGGAAGATTTAAATTTTTTTATTAACGCGCGTAAAACATTACTTTAGAAATTTATCGGACGCCGATGATTGCCGTTTTTCTCGTGACTGACGCGTGGCGCGCTAACGAGCCAGCACAGACAATGAATTCATTAAACTCTTCCCTCGTTTTCTTATTATATTTTTAAACGCATCCGTACTTCCAATACCTATACGCGGCGCATTTTCTGACGCGAGCAGAAATGGGAAATTTAATAAAGCACCGATCGTTTATGTAATTATCTATACACACTGTACAGCACCTGCTGCGCTCGCGTGTGTAAAGGGTTGTCGTTGTAAGGGTGTTTTGCCGAACAACACGGACGTTTAACGACCCTCGCATAATCGTGTGTCATGTGCTGTGTATGGAAATAGTACATTGTTAAAAGACGATTATTATTATTTTCTCTCTCTCTCTCGCGTCGAGAGATCGATGCACGCGGGACGATCGTCGTTCGGTCGGGTCGGGTCGACCCCGCAAATGATTTTTCAAAAAACAAAAGGCAAAAAAGAGCTGGAAAAAATATTACTCGGTCGCGTTTCCAACCTTATATACACGTATACACGTTTATTATTATGAATAATAAAGTACGCAAGCGGCTTGTGGAACCCATTACGCTTCGCGCAGTAATGTTTTGCGCTCGCGAGGCAGCCTACATACATTATGTATGCGACATGTATTTTTTTTTCTTTTCTCGCTCAAGCCCGTGCTTATAGTTTTTTTATTTATGCGTAGTAAAAGCCTAACTATAACGTACGTATATAACGACGATGCTCGAGAGATAATCTCGATCGCGCGCGCGCGCGTCGTTTTTTGCGCTGCGTTGCGTACTTCAGACAGGCAGGCAGGCAGGCGTACTTTTACCGATTTTTCAATCACGCCCTCTGCTGCTTTTTTTCCTATCTTTTTTTTGCCCTGTACATACAACAAAACAATAATAATAACGATAAAAATTAAACGATGGATAAATAAAAAGACGACGACGCGACGATGTAGCGGCGCGGCGATAAATAAGGATGCAATGCCGCGAACGCGTGTGCTCGACGGACGACGAACTGAACGCGGCGATCGACGGTATTTTGGACGAGGATCGGGCCGAGGTTAGCGTCAACGATAATCATCATTGTCGCGGCGGTAGAAAGCGTAAACGCAACGACGTAGACGACGAACAAGACCTAGACTACGAATCGGGGTTACAGGACGTAGGTATTAATTTTCTTTTCTTTTTTTAACTCGTCGTTTCTTCTCTCGGCAAATTTTTAAAAAATATGTATTGTTATCTTTCGCTCAGCGCACTCAACCTCGTCCACCACCTCCTCGTGGTGGTTGTAGGCCAGGCTCGTCGTCGTCTCAAAGACAGCAGCAGCAGCAGCCGCAGCTACGCAAACCCTGCCCGGGTGCTCTGAAAGCCAAGAGATTCTCGCTGCGCATCATGGAGGCACTGCGAGCCCTCGAGCGCGACAAGATCGACGGCAGGACCAGCAGCGGTGGCTGCGCCAACGAGACAACGACGGCGGGCTCGTCGACCTGCGACATCGTGCGCTACGTAGACGAGCACTTCCAGAGCGACGGCGATCTCGTCTCGCAGGTGCGCACCGCGCTGAAGCGCACCTGTTGTCAGGGGTTCGTATACGTAATGCAAACGACTGTCTTGGATAAAGCGTGGAATTTTGATTTTATTATTTTCGTTTCGTTTTTTGGAAATATGTCGTATGTAGATTGGTGAGAAACGAAGGTGACGACAGATTCAGCCTGGTCGAGCCGTTCGCGAGCTTGCTCAGTCGGACGCGATGCCACAACTCGAGCCAGTCGATGCCGGTCTTATCGACGGCTAGCAACGACGAAGCGGCGGGTACGACGACGACCGGTAACAACAACGATGCCGACGATAACGACGACGATAACGACGACAACGACGAGGGTAGTTTTTGCAAACCAGCGGCTCGGAACAAAAAAAATAATAACAATAACAACAATCGCAAGAGGAGAGGAGGACGGCGGAAAAAGTCCTGCACTCGCACGGATGTACGTAGCATCAATTGCACTCTTGGCGACACACGATTGATACAATTACTTTTTTTTCGTTCTATGATTTTCGAAACGAAGGACAGCTCTGACTTGGAACTGTCGATACCGACGAGCGCCGAGGAGGATCTGATACGTCGCGGTGTCCGGCAGCCGCGAGACGATATCGCTGAGTGCGTGGATAATGAAAATCTGCGATCGAGAGCAGCGGCTCCGTTTCCTCCTGCCAAGCGTCGTCAACGAAGCTGGTAATTGTTACTCGAGATATAAACGATACGAGTGTCGTTGTTTTGATCGATGACGAAATATTTGTAGCGGATCGGGGGAGGAGGAGGAAGACAGCGACTTTGCCGGGGCGATCGACGATCCGGCCCGAGGCCTCGAGATCGGCGTCAAGCTCGAGGATTTTGAAAACGACGACGAGGAAGATGAAATCGTGCCGCCGGACGAGCAGGATCTGAATCAGGATAACGACGACGACGATGATGACGACGACGAAGTGGCATCCAACGACAGCGTGTTCAACGAGATGAGACGTCGCAATCCGAACAACAACAACATCAACAATCGCGACAGAGACAAGGAGCTGAAGAGGTGGATCAAGAGATGCCGCAAGGAGTGCGCTCGGCGCGCGGCCGAGGATCGATCGCCCGACCGACGATTGGACAAGGAGAGAAGCGGCAGCAGCGGCGACAACGAATGAGATTGTTGTTATTATTTTCAAAATTATCAGAATAAATGCCAAATTAATTAAAACACATAGAGTTTTTGGATTCGATTTATATTATCATTGCGACGAGTAATTTTTAACAATACAAATAACGATCATTTCGGGTGAACGTCGCGATTCGCGATCAGTACTTGCGATCGATGTCCCAGTCGGGCTGCTGCCGGTGTCGTTTTTCCGGCGGGCTGCTGCTTCTGCTTCTGCTCTTGCTGCTGTTTTTGTCGTCGTCGTTGTTGTTGTTGGAAAAGAGCTTGAGCTCCGGGGCGATGCGAAAGACGAGGCCGCGCTTGTCCACGGGCTGCAGCAGGCCCAGCACCGTGCCGATCGATATTATCTCGTAGATGCACTTCTCGATGTTTCTCTTGGCTGTACAACGACGATAACGAGGCAGTTGATTGTATTATTTAAGGCATACGAAAAAATAACGCGAAACTTTTTTTTTTCTTATATACCTCCGGTATAGGAGTACACGTTGTCGTTGTTGGGCCCGCAGGGCGAGGCCGGCTGCCTCTTGAACTCGTCGTAGCCGACGACGCTCGTTATCTGACGCGGCGCGTCAATGTCGTTGTTGTCGTTGTGACGTCGCGGCCGACCGGCGCCGCCGCCGCACTGCTTCTGATGGCGGCGCTGATCCGGCCTCAGTCGGCGCGGATGCGCCTGCCTCTGCTGCCGACGGAACTGGCACGTGGCGCTCGTCTTCTGGGACCTGCAGACGCCGCGATTCGACACGCTCTCGAGATAGCGATAGACCAGCTCCGCCACCGTCGGCTTGTGCGTCCGCGGCGCCGCTGCCGCTCGGCCCTGCAGCATCGTCGGCCTGCTCCTGCTCGACTTCGACGTCGCCTTCGTCGCTCGTTTCTGCGCAACAACAACAACAGCCAAACAATGAACGGACCTTTACTCGATCGGTTGTCGGTTTTTGCACTGCTGTATCTGATGATACGAATGTTTGGGGGTACCTGAACGCGATTGGCGCTGCGTTGGGGTCGGCGCTTCTCGATGAAGCGAGCCTCGTGGCCCGGCAGTATTCTCACGCGTTTCTTCGCGACGCGATGATTATGATGATGGTGATGGTGTCTGCGCTCCGGAGCCATCGAGATACGATACTTCACGAGCTCATTTTTACAAAGATTGATTCGGCTTTATTTATGGTTTTTTTTTTATATCTGTTGCGTGAACTTTTTTTGAGGGTTGGGGGGGACGAAACAACAACGTATATATGTACACAAAAGTTTGACACACGATTGAGAGGGAAACGCCGTGAACTTAGTCGGATAACCTAATTTTTGTCTTTGCTTTATTATGATGATAAGAATACAATCGATTGTTGAGCACATTTTGAAATCGAACGTCCTAGCAATGATCATCAAAAACATTATATTGAAAAAACAAATTAATTCATAATTATAAATCATCATTATTAAAAATTGAAAAATTAAAATAATGAAAAGTATGACTGATCGATCGAATCGTATTGCAGCTGTACAACAAGGGCGGCTCGCGCATGCCACCCACGCGATGCCGAGCAGCAGTAGCAGCAGCACACACACCTGGTCGGTAGTACGAGCCGTGGCTTTGAATGTGTATGTGGGTGTGTGTGCGGCAGTACCATGACAGCCTCGACTCCGACGCCGTCACAACAAAGCGAAATTAAAGTACGCAGCTATGTCGAGCAAGGTAGTGTTATATATTACTTATTTTAATCGAAGGTTAAATGTTTGCTGTGGATATTTTATTTTTATATTTGTTTCGTTCAGGATTCGGAGGAAAAAAAAGTTAAGAAGAGAAGCCACTCGCAGAGCCGATCCAAGTCCGAAAAAGTCGAAGCCGAGGAGAAAGACGTCAAGAAGAGAAGTCATTCGAAAAGCAGATCGAGCCCCGAAAAATCCAAATCTTCTTCGAAAAGCAGCGATGGCAAAACAGTCGGTGATAAGGATAAAAGCCGAGACAAGCACGCGTCGAAGTCGTCGTCTTCGAAGCCGGAGAAAACAGCCGCGGTCGAGCCAGTCATCCGTGACAGAAGCAGAGAGAAGAGTCGACCGCCGAAAATATACACGGACGAGGAGAAGATGAGATTGAAGCGAGAGAGGCAGGCGAGAGAGGCCAAAAGAGAATTGGAAAAGAGCTCGAAATCGGAGAAAAAAGAGCAGCAGCAGCCGCGAATCGTCGTCGATAAAAGGGTCGCGAGCGACAGGAAGCCGACAAAAATTGAAAGCTCGTCTACAAAAGCGAACCTTCTGCCCGATAAAAATGTGATGATCAAATCAAAGCAACTTAGAAAGTCCACCTCGAAGTCGAGCGTCGACGAGTCGTCCGGTAGTTCCAAAGCACGAGTGTCCACGAGAGTCAAATCGGAAAGTTCGAGTAAAAAAAAGTACGACGAGAAACGGGGCCAAAGTTCCGTGTTCGCGCCCCCGGACGCTGCGAGCAAATTGAAGGATTCGATCAAAGCCGCCGCCACCACCAGCAACACCGAGACGAGGAGGAAGAAAAAAGTCGATGCGAGCGACGAAAAGACGACGACGACGATTTCGAGGGAGCGCAGAAGATCCAGGACACTGAGCCCCAGCGAGGTGAGAGTGTTGAATCAGAACAATAGTAATAACAACGCCGTCAAGGTGCAGAAAGAAGCGTCCCCGAATGCCGCCGCTGCTGCTGCTGCTGCTGCTGCTGCTGCTGGCAGTATCGTGGATAAAAATTCGCGGCACGACGTCGATCCACCGGCTAAGAACGAAAGCGACAACAGCGAGATCGATTTCAATCATTTAGAAGAATACGAGGTGGTTAGACCCATTATGATATCAATCAATTTCGTGCTATAATTCTATAAAGTGTCTAACGATAATGCCTGAATTTAGGATTACGAGTCGGACGTGGACGACTTCACGATCGCCACGCAAGTGAACGACGACTCGGACGTCAGTCTGCTGAGCTTGGATCTGGAGCCGATCATATTGAAAACCGAAGAGAAGGTATATTTTGTTTCATTTTACGTCGATCGATATTTTTGATGACAAATATTATTGAAGAAAAAAATAAATAAATTAACGCAGAGAAAACTCGTGATGAGCGCGGCGACCGTACGCCGAGAAAGAGAGGACACCAACGACTCCGAGCATCACGAACTGGCCGAGACGCGCAAGAGGGCGGCGATGGTCGAGTCGTTGATGGCGCATCGAATGAGGACACCCTCGCCCGAGCCCGAGATGATCAAGTTGCTGCCCAGCGACGACGTTTACAGGTTCGACACGTAGGGCTTCACGATACGATACGATATACCGATATTTTTTTTAGTAAATATCGATATCGTATCGAAATCGGCGATATTTGGTTTTGAAAATTATTGTATTGTGTATCGAAATCGATACGATATCGAGAAATAATTAAATTTTAGTAGTCAAAACAATACAATTGTTTTCAAATAGCTATAAAGAATTTTTAATTATTCGTTGAATAAATAGTAACTATTTTTCATGTTAATAATCACATTTTATAATTAAGTATGAGAGAATATTTTAAGTTTGCATTAAAATACTATATTAAAATAATAAGCTTGTCGCTTCGCATCCACCTATTGATGCGGATCAATTCCCTAAAGCTTTCGTTCGTAAGAATTGCTGTCTGATTAGCCGTATTACCATCATTATGGACGAGACTTTATCTCGGACAAAAGAGATCGTCGTGAAGTAAAGAATACGCCATTGCTTCATAGAGCTCATTTTCGGTCAATTATATTAAATACTTTAGTGTTTACAATAACCAATAAGTTCTAGTTACTTGAACTTTTATGTTACGATGATCTTGGCTTAGTCAAAAAAATAAAATCCGAATAAAGTAATAATTTAAATTATTACTTTTAGTTTTAATAGGCTTTAAATTGAGGTTTTGAACCAGATGTCGTAGTACCGTATGGTTTACATATTTCAAAACTACATTGAAATCTCAAAAAATGACAGAAGCTTTGTGTACATTTCTTGATAGCAGCGAGTATACCGACCTCGATACTAGATATGGTTGATTCTCCTGAAGTCTGCTTTTTCGGGTATAGAAAATGAAAAAATGGTGAAAATTTGTTCTTCACATTGAACGGCGCAAACTAGTTGACCCTTTTTTAAACCATAAAATATAAATTTTCATTGAATCTGGAGCCTTGAGATTTCGTTGTACGAAAACTATGTCCAATTTTATGCTTAAAATTGACTATTTTCGGTTACGGAGGTGACACACATTGAGGTGACAAATCCCTGCTTTGATCAACTAAGTATGAAAAATAAGAAACGCACAAAATTTTCCGCACAACCCGAAATTCGGTCATGAAAAACGAGTCTTTTGATGGTGCGAGAAGAAGAGAAAGAATGATTATAGCTCGAGATATTCATTTCTACGGAGGTGACAGTTTTTTTGAAAAACGTGAATTTTCCAATAGAATAATTATCTCTGCATAGCTAAAATCTAAAATTTGAAGCGGCAACCTACACTATGCGAGGAAGGAAGGGGACAAATGAAATAAAATACATATGATCAATGGTTAAATTAAATAAGATCTGTGTATTGTATAATAATATGGGCGCCACCGCTAAAGCGGAAATAATACGTAATAATAAATTATAATTGATAAATGCGCAAGTCAGATTATACTCTATTCCTCACTGGTTAGTTGTACAGTTGCACGGCCATGAGACTCGCTCAAGGTGCGAGTTCAGTACACGAGGTCAAAAAAGGGGAATTAGATTAGAAGTCGCGAAATACGACTGGCTCGACGATACTTAGGCTAACTTAAAATAGAACTTATCTAGTGCGCTCTTCTGTCTTCGCCGGCTGATGATGACCGATGTTGCCTGGTGATGGTTGGCCGTGGCGCAGACGTCCGCAAGAGCAGCTTGACCAGTTAACTGGATTAGTCGACGGGAACTCGGGTGGTGAAGGGTGGCACTCACGAGTTCACGTATCACGATAACGACGGAAATTATTTGGTCGTTGTAAGGGTAATCGTGCGGCTGTTCGAGTTCAGCAGCACTCACGATTACTCGGCAAACACAACTTTTCTAATGGTATCTCTGTGCGAGAAAATGGCAGAGAGTCGAGAGCACGAGAGTCACGATGATGCGAGTGTAATCTCTCGTAGCTCGGAGTAATCTACGAGGGTGTACTACTGATCGGATAATAGTAACATGGCTATGTTCAAGAGCTTACCCAAATAGCATATTTTGCACCTGGGGGGTAAAAAACTGTAAAGTCTCACAGCACATGAAATTTATCATCCGAGGCGAAGCCGAGGTTGATAATCATGTGCTCTGAGACTTTCTTTTTTCGCTACATAGGTGCAAATACAATTATTCGATGACCCCGAAACAAAATAGTATATTTTTCACTCCCTGGGTGCAAATAGAAGTTTTGTTTTCTTCAATAAAAAAATTCTGGTACTCAGTAAAAATCAAGCAAATATTATGATGAAAGAGGAATTTTAAAAAATGCAAAAAAATGTTCAAAATTTATTAAAAAAAAGTATAATCTATTATTATCTATTATCTATTCTCTAGTATAGTTCCTATAATAGTATAGTAGAATTCCTAATAGTAGAATCTAATAGTAGAATTCCTATAATCGTACAATGGAGTGACTATTCATTACATAGACGAAAATTGGATTTTAAACTGGTTTGCTATTAATTTTAGTCCATCAAAAGAAAAGCATTCCGGTTTGGATATGGCACACATCTTTTATGAAATTACTAAATTTTATAATATCCGTGATAAAATAGCTGTCATTACCGTGGACAATGCTACTGAGAATACGACTTTTATTTCTGAACTCAGCAAAATTTTAAAGGATGATAAAATTAATTTAGATCTACAAGATCAACACTTTCGATGCCTTGCCCATGTCTTTCATTTATCAGCGCAAGACATTCTAAAATTGATGGATTGTTGTGAAGTTGAAAAGTATTTAAACGAAGAAAAAAAAGATTATGATGACTTAGACAATATACCAGATGAAGAAATGGACGATTTTGAATAGAATTCAAAGTTAATTTCCAACGTTGTAAGTAAAATACGCAAATTGCTCAAAAATATAAGAAATTCAGAAGTGTTTCGGAGATACTGCTCACCAAATGAAAGATGCTCTGGATCAACTTTGTAAAAAGTACGATACCTAAATATCTGTAAAACTGTGAATTCTCGTTGGAAGATTAGTAGAATTTTTAGGTGACTATAATCGAGTGTCGGGAAAAATTACTGGCGAAGAAGTACGTATTGTTGGCATAATAGCTTTTATAGCACTGCGTGTCTTAAGTTCAAATTTAAGGCACGCCTATGACACTCGCTGCGCTCGTGCGCTAACTTCACTCAGCGGTACCCAGCGCCCAGCTGAGATAAAATCGTCTCCACATTATTTCTCGCAAGAGCTTCTCGAACGGACCCGACTTTAGCCCGGGCGCGAGATCGTCGAAGCGACTCGTCGAGACCTCCAACTCGTGGTAATTCTCGGGCTCGAGTCGTTTGGCCGCGCGCTCGAGTCGCAGGCTGATCGCCTCGTGGAGCGTCAGCCTCGTGCTCTCCGCCGCAGGAAGTTACATCGAGCAAGCCCATTAACGCGCCATGGCGTCGCTTCGCGTCAGCTCGTAGCCTCTTTTCTCGAGACTCGCGACGACGCCCATCCGGTCGCTCGCCCCGCACAATTGGCTCGTGCCGCCGTGTCCCGACGCGTAAAAGCGTCCCTTGGCCGACAACCAGAAAAGATCGTATCCGGACGGGAACTTGAAGGACGCCGGCAGTTCGGCGCCGCGATCGAAGAGCACCTCGAGAACTTGCGGAAAGCCCTTGGCCGCGGCCCACTGGAGCGGCGTCCAGCCGAATTTGGCTCGGGCGTTGATCTCGACCTTCAGCCGCAGCTCGTCGACGGTATCGAAGAAAAATCTCACGAAGTCGACGTCGTACACCATCTTGCAAATGGCGTGCAGAGGAGTCTGTCCATCCTTGTTGACCGTGTTCGGATCGGCGCCGCGTCTCAGCAGGAATGCGCTCAGACCTCTGTGAGCCCTGTTGAGAGCGTAGTACAGCGGTGCGTTGCCCGCGTCGTCCCGAGCGTCGATCCGCAACGACTCGTCGTCGCCGCAGGCACGGAGAAACGTCTCGGACCAGTCGTTCTCGTCTTTCTGGCACAGAAGGTGCAGCGGCGTCTCACCTCGTGCGTTGGCCGCGTTCGGACCGGCGCCGTGCGCCAGCAGCACACCCGTACACAAGGTCGCTAGTACGAAGTACGAAGACTTCTTCTTTGATAACCGGAAAGTTATCCTATAATGTACATATTCTTGAGATTCGTTTGATCCGCCGCTTGCGCTTGATGCACTTTTTACGTAGGGCTTCAAAATTTCTCCTTTGCCGACGATTCGAATCAGTCGTCGGTCAGAGTCATCGATGTCAGCTGTTCGTAGACTCGAGGCAGCATGCATAGGACATATATGGTCGTGCATTACCAAACTGAGTAGCTTCTGTAAAGCCAAGTTAAGTCGCATTACTTTCTAATCGTTTAGTATACGCTACGCAACAAAACCACTCTAAGCTCCGCCCAAACGCTCAGAGCGAAGCCACGAAGAGAGATCACGTCGATCGGAGAAAGTGAGCTTCTTCGAAAGATAATCTCTTATAGCTTCCACCACGAGGGAGGTACACTCGTCTTAGCGCAGTCAGTGAACGCTTCGACGTCGCAGCGTGAACATCGTGCGGGAAGATAGCCAGTGACTCTTGTGAAAAAAAAGTTTAAAAATATTTTCAATTCCATTCGATTGTGTTCTTTTTTTGTGTGCAAGGGCCCAGAATGATGGATATAAATGAAAATATTTTCGAATACGGTAGCGTAGGTGAATACGACAGAATCGAGCACTGCCTCGTGCCGAAAACGGGTGATTCGCCGCTGCACTTGGCTCTGGCGAACGGCAACGTCGGACTGGTTGAGCTGCTGATAAAAAGTGGCACCGATCCGAGTTTTTCCAACGAGCAAGGATCGACGCCTTTGCACGTCATTTGCCAGAGAGACGACGGCGACGACGAATCGATAGATAAATTCTTGAAGATGTGCGACGACAGAGAGCTAACTTTGCAGTTGGACGCCCGGGACAAGATGAACAGGACACCGCTCCAATTGGCCGTGGTACACAATTTGCCGCACGCCGTCGACGTACTCTTGGCTCGAGGTGCCGATATAGCGAGCTTCGAATTTCCCAGGGAGGCTTGGTTCGCCGAGAGATTCAAATTGCAGAACTCGAGCGCCGCTTCGAAATTGGCCACGGTGTCTCGCGTTCTGGCCGTCGTCCGCAATCTCGAAAAGGCTGGATTCGAGCTGAACCGAGACGACGCGCTCATCATCATGAACTACTTCGACTGGTGCAGACTCTTGGACAAGCCGGCGGATTTCGAAGAATTTTGGTGGAAGAGTGCAGGGGAGTTCGGCGAAAAAGCGCTCAGCATCGTGATCAATTCATGGCTGTCGCTCCAGGACCTAATCCAGTTAAACCCCCAAGACGCGGAGAACTTGGTCGCGTACACGGACTACTGCGAGCTCTCGCGTTCGGAGGAATTCAACAAGCTGCCCGTTAAGTACGTGGAGGCTTGCGTTTGGCGTCTGTGCAATACGATGGCGAGTGGATTTTTCCAGCGATGGGCGCTGGAGCCTTACGCGGAGCAGATGCGCAAGCAGATGCGCGACCAATTTTCGATTCATTCCTGCAAAAAGACCCTCGAGACGCTGTCGAATTGGGATTTGCGTAATATCTGCTTGGCGAAGGAACGTTGAAGCTCTCGACGACTCATGTTAGAATAAGAACAATTACAATACATTAATACACATGTTAGAATAAGAACAATTATAATTATGTTTTCTTTTTGATGCTTCATCAGCAGACTTTTTGTAAATCCATTTGTTTGTGAGTACTACAATTTAAATAAATGAAAAAATTGATTTTATTAATTAGCTTTGACTTTAATTTTTATTATTTTCATTTTTACACCTTGCAGCTACGCACAATAACCGTGGAATTTGTATTTATCTCTGCATTATATTATAAGGTAGAACGAGCATGTTGTCTATTTCTTGGAATGAATAGACTTTAGAAAAAGAACAAAGAAAGCCTAGAGCGATACTTCCGTTAGTATTTATTTTAATTTGGAGTCGAATAACAAGAAATCGATCAATCATAATCCTCTAGGCAACTAATGATGTGTCACATTACGCGAGTATGATCATAAAAATAATAAAAGCTAATTAAAATACTTCCACGTAATGTAACGATTTACGGTAGAACACATGTTCGGGACATTTAATATTGCTGCGATCCAAGATTCCATTAGAATGCAATAAATCTCTGTTTTTCGAAAAATAAAATATAGTGTGAGAAACATTAGGCACGGCGGTCTTTCTGGAAACTTAATCTGTTAGCGGGGAAACTTGACTCCTCACCATAAACTTTTTCTAAAGCCTAAGAATATAACTTTATTAAGCCGAAATAAAAATCAACTAAATTAAATATATTTATTGATATGGGGCCATGTGGCGAGTTGATCAAATAAGCAGACCACATGGAACGCTTGTAAGTTCTAATAAAGATCTCATTTTATCATACTTCATTCAAATGGACCTGTAATTTTATCGCAAGACATGAGATAAATCTCGATCATTTGATCTCTCAGACTGCATATAGATCGTAACATCAGGTGCATGGCAGCGGCGTTTATTACCGAGTGTTCTGGTTGTAACATTTCCAATTTTTCAGACTTAACATAAATATAATTAGGTAGCTGGTGTTACCGACTGAGCATTTCACAACGTGTATAGAGGACCCTTAACATATGTGGTATTTCACGTCAGTCGTCAACTCTACCAGCGCCGCGCCGAGCAGCATCGTTCAAATTTGTAATTCGCTGTAAAAGTATCTGAATGCACCTACGGAAAAAATTAATGTATGATTTCGATGAGAAATTGCCTCGGCTATCCGATGACAATGTCTAATTTCTTAATTTTTTGATGATTATTAATCAATCGATTAATGTTTATTTCAAGGCACAATGAAAGGCATATAGGGTAAAACACCTATTACTGTGCCCAAGACATAACCTTCAATGTCCCTATTACTGAACATTTGATTTGATTACATGTTAAAATCCAGTTATATGGACAGGCACAGTAATAGGTGCACCTACCCTATAGTTGATTCTCCCAAAGTCTGCTTTTTGCATGTCTTCATGCCATGTTCTTAAACTAGTGAAGATAAGCCAAATCTGGCTCGGTCGTTCATTCAATATTGTTGTATTCTTCATGATTGGACATAAATATTAGAATTTGTTAGTGCCAGATACATTTGCCGTGGAGATGTACATGCCTAATGTCACCTCCGTGGCATGTCTAGATCACAAAATCAACTCTGTTTGCATATACCATGCATTCTCATTAGCACCTAGCCCTATAATAACTATGACACCACGTTTTATACATCCAAAGTAAAGTTTAAGTCTACCATAGGGCCTTGAAAAATGTTTTAAAAAAATTTTCCACACAATAGGGTATTTGCATGAAAAAAAAAGTCATTGAAATAATTACGTTATAGTAAAATATACGTATCAAGGAATGTGGGAGTAAAAAAATAAACAATTTTGAACAGTCAGATAATTTTTAATACGAGAATAAAAATCAAAAAAATTCGAAAATTATTTTGAACTCCACAAACGATTTTGATTGGTCCGCACTACTGTGACTTCATACTTATAACCTAAGTCGGCTGCTGTATGTAATTTAACAATTATTTAAAGAGCTATGATAGTAAGGAAATCAAACATATTCTGACAACTATTCATACGCAAAATGAAATTTTCTTTTTCAAACTTTTATTATACTAAAAGTCTGAAAAATAATTCAGTACGTGATTTTTAACACCTATTTTGTATAAAAAAACCTTACTTATTATTCTACTTGCCCGGCCGTCTCAATCGAAATCAAGAAGTTCGTCTTGGTCATGAATTTAATAA